CAGGACCCTCTTCTTTTACCAAGCCTGAATAAAGGGTGATTGCTGGCCCTAAAAACGATGAGTATACAAAGACCAGGATGGCAGGGAACCAGGCTGAGTGGCAGTGGAATGTCAGGGACACAAAGCCTAGGGGACATTCTAGAATTTCTGAGCTGAAAAGACCTTAAGGACTGAGTCAAGTTTGTGTCCCCAGATGTCCCTCAGTATGAGTTCATCAACTGGAGACTGGTCAGCCTATCTAGTGTCACTCCCTTAAAGAAGACCAACTCCAGCCATGTGTATTTGGCGATGTATACAGTACCACACACGAGTTCCCTCCCTTAAGTGGGCTTTAAGTCCAATTAGATAACTGTTGATTACCCCCAAGATAAGAGTGCCACTACTGTACCAATATAGTTTGCTATGCCAGTCGTTGATGTGGTTACAAAGGGCAATTAACACAGAAAACCACAACTGGCCAAAAAGTAGAAAATAAGAGAATGCAGAGTGGATAAGACTCCCTGGCTAGGACTGCTATATTAAACCTCTTCCACCTAGGACACAGGGGCCATTGCAAAACGGGGGCAAAAAGACTGTAAGAGCCAAGGTGATAAACGACCACAAGGAAACAGAATTTTCCAGGTAGCTGGAAACTTACTCATATGATCTTACAGCAATAGTGACAGCAGGCACAAGACCTATGCAAACTCAAACCAGACAAAAACCCAGCATAGAACTGGGGAAGAGGATAAGAAGCCCCAACCTTGGTAGTTGATAACTACTGGATGAGGGAGAGCTGGTCTTCTTGAAGGGAAAGAGACTAGATAGGCTGATCAGGCTCCAGTGGATGAACTCACACTCAGAGGCATCTGGGAACATTAACTTAACTCGACAGACCTTAACATATATGAAAGAATGCATGAAATCAGGTATGGAGCTATGAGCAGGTGAAGATAGGAGAGGGGGCTCTCAATATGACTAAGATGCGTTATGTGAAATGCACCAAATTCAATAAAAATATATATTTAAAAATTAATTAAATTTCTAAATATTTTTATTTATTATTTTTATTTCATGTGCCATGAATGTATTGCCTGCACGTATGTAAATGCACCTGTGTTGTGCAATGCTCATGAAGGTCAGAAGAGGGCATTGGATCCCCTGGAACTGGAGTTAGGGATGGGTGATAGCCACCATGTGGGTGCTGGGAATCAAATCTGGGTCCTCTGCAAGAACAGTCAGTGCTCTTAACCACTGAGCCAACTCTCCAGACCCAAAATAACAAAAAAAAAAATTTAACACTAAGAGGCCAAAGGAATCAACCTCCTGGCAAGAACAAGACATTTTTACCAATATCCAGACCACACTTTAGCCACATAGCTAAACTACATTTCCCAGTCTCCTTTGCAGTTGGTAAGAGCCATGAGTTGAATTATGCCCGATGGAGCTATCTAGTTCTCTACTAAGTTCTAAATGTTTGCATTCCCAACACCCAAGATTCATATGTTGAAATCCAAATCTCCAATATGATGCTAGTAGGAGGTAGAGCCTTATGGAAAGTGATTAGGTCACTTGCCATGAGTGTGGAGCCTCTGTGAAGGGGATCTGTGCTCTTATCAAAGAGGCCCAAGGGAGTAGTGTTGTTCCCTCCACCATGTGCTACTCAGCAAGAAGGCCATCAGTGAACCAGAAAACAGGCCCTCCCCAGATGCTGAATTTCAGTGCCTGGCATAGTTCAGCCTCCAGAACTGTGAGAGTGAACTGTTGTATGTAAACTGTCTAGTTCATGGTATTTTGTGTGGCAGCCTGTGATATTATAACATACATACTTTGGTTTTCCAACCATGGTCTCTGTTTTACTGCTTCCCCAAGGCAGATCACAGAAACTGTAATCATTCCCTGCTTGCTGCTTGCCACAAAAATATTATCTGACCTATGTCTGGTTGCAGATAAAAAAACCCACTTCACTCCAGAGGGGTCCTGCCTTTTAATCCTGCTGAAGAATCTAGAAGGACTTTTCTAGGTATGCCCAGACAGTCTATTAACAATCATACCTATGCAATGAAGTCTATATAAAAGGATACTCTCCAGACCAAAGGATAAGGTTTGGAGAGTCTGGATAGCCGAACTCATGGAGGTTCCTAGACGGCTGTTATGGTTTGAATCCAAAATAGGTGCCAAAAGCTCGTGTGTTGAAGACTTGGTCCCCAGTGCTGCAATATTCATGGCCAGGACCTTTGGAGATGGTTAAATCATGAAGACTACAACCTCATCAGTGGATTAATCCATTGATGAATTCACAGTCTAATGGGCTATTGGGGGTGATGGGTGCTCTAGGACCTGAAGTCTCATTGGAGGAAGTAGGCCACTTAGAGGCATGCCTTTGAAGGATATAGGTGCATTGTCATAGGTACATTCTCTCTCTCTCTCCCTCTTCTCCCCCTCCCACTGTCCCTCTCTTGCTCTAAATCTCACTCTAGCTCTATCCCTCCCTCCTTTCTTCCACCAAGAGGCAGGCCACTATCCTCAGCCACACATTCCCACCATGATGTATTATCTGGCTTCAGGCACTACAGCAACAGGCCAAGTGACCATGGACCACAATCTCGGTAACTGTGAGCCAAAACAAATGTTTCCTCTTTTATTTATCTCAGGTATGTTGTCACACCAACAGAAAACTGGCTAACGTGGTGATGCACTCAGAGGGCATAGGCACTCCACACCCCTTTCTCCCATACCTCAAACTATGCATCTCCTTACTGGCATCTTTTGTAATATCCTTTATAATGAATCAGTTAACCTAAGTACTTCCCTGAGTTCTGTGAGGCACTCAAGCAAATCAATCAAACCTGAGATGTGTGGGAACCTCAACTTATAGCTGATTTGGCAGGAGCACAAGAAGAAAAACGGGCTATTTGGCTGCAGAAATCCTAAGCAAAGTGTTGAAGGTACAATTTGGCTTCTCTTTAATGCTCATAGTAAAATATAGAAAGGATCTAAAGATGAATTTTTAATTAAAACAGATGCATACATTATGATTTGAATCTGAAATGCCCCCACCCCCACCCCCTACACAGTTTTGAACATTCAGTTCTCAGTACGTGGGGTTATTTTGGAGGCTCAGAGCCCCTGGGAGATGGAGCCTGGCTGGCGGAAGTAGGTCACTAAGGGTGGACCTTTGAAAGTTATACCTATACCTGACTCATTTAGTTTCCTCTCCTGGTCTATACTTGCTACCAGTCCTTCAGGGTTTCACTCTCCACTCTGTAGCACAGCACTCCTGGCCTCTTCCAGTTCAGCTCCACTGATAGCTATACTCACAACAGAAAGCTCAGATGGTCAACCTTGGTGGCATCCACACAGTGCCATCTCAGCTGTTGCAAAAATTAAATGAGCCTTGAGGGCATGACTACCTTCACCTTGACTTCAAAGGATGCCCCAACCTTTGAACCCAGACAGAAAACAGTCAAGCAGTGGACTGACATAGAGAGCCGCAACCAGGGCCACACCCAGTAGAGCCATGGGCACCATGAGATCCACAACAGAGGAGCCACTGGTGCACAATTCTAGCTTGAGAGCCATAGGCATACAACCCCAGCCCAGAGCCACCACTGAAAACCACCACAAGTGCAGGGCACCACCCAAGTGGGTCCAAGAAAGTCCACTGTACACCAATGGACTAGAAGGCAGAGCCTTAAATCAAAGATCATCGTCCAGCTTTAAGGTTTTCAACATACTGAGAATCTGTTATTCCTGCTTTCTTGCCTGTTTCTCCTTCAGGACTGGGACTGTCTAGCCTGTGTCTGTCCCACTACTGTCTCCTGGAAGCACGTAAAATGCATGATTTCCCAGGTTCACAGTTGGAGAGCAATGCATGTCAGGATGAAATGTACCTTGAATATCATTCATAGCTGATTAAATGATACTGTGAAAAGAACTTAGATGGATGGAATGTGATGTTGGAATGTTTGACTAGTGTGTTGCAATCCTAATCTCCAAGTTGATGGTGTGAGGAGCAAGGGTCTTCTGGGAGGTCACTGGGGGTGAAGGCCTTATAAATGAAATCAGCAGTTATAAGAGAGCTCCAGAGCTTGGATCCTTCTACCACATGAGGAAGACATAGTGAAAAGGCACTATCTATACACCATATGATGGGTTCTCACCAGACATGGACTCTGCCAGCATCTTAACTTCAGACTTTCCAGGCTACAAAACCATTAGAAATAAATTTCGGTTGTTTATAAGCCACCCAACCTATGGCATTTTGTTATAGCAAACCAAGCTAAGACAAGATTCCCGTCCCCTCCTCTAGATGCTTGGCAGGATTCCAAAGCCCTAAGAATAGCCAAAGCACAACAGGGAAGAGCCTGGATTCTAAATGACCAACCCATCCTGGACCATGCCACAAGGGAGACACAATCTTTTTGTGTCAAACTCCTGATGTTTGAGTCATCAGTCGGCATGCTACAACCAATCAATACACCCCTCTACAGAGGTACAACCCAGTGGGTGGAAGAGAAGTGACAAGTCCAATGTCTGAGTGAGCTCCTGGTGCCCAGGGTGTGATGGTTAATCTTAACTGTCAATGTCACTGAACTGAGAAAAGCCTAGGAGATTAGTAATGCAGAGCTCTCTGGGTGTGTCTGGGAAGCCATTTCCAGAGAGGATTAACTGGCGGGGGTGGGGCACAACACAGGACAGACCTTGAATCACAATGGCCCTGATGAGTAAGGCTGCAGACCAGGTGGAATGAAAGCAAAAGGGAACCTACCAGCCCCAAAGTGTGCTTCTCTCTGCTTCCTAGACAGCACATGAGCTGTTCTGCTCCACTCTGCGCATGCCATGATGATGAACCAAAAACCTCTGACCATGAGCCCAAATCAACTTCTCCTCCCTTATGTTCTTTTGTTCAAGTATTTTGTCAGAGAAGAAAAACTGACTCCCACACAGGTTAGAGCTAGCATTTTCCAACTACAGCCTTAGATGAGGGCGCATGAACCCCGCCACACATCACAAAGCTGTACAGCACCAATTCCCAAAAAACTTTATTCATTGCTTCAAGTGGTAAAATGTCATTGGTCTCTGTGGGGCTCCTAGAGGGACAGAGGGAGATCTGGGGTGGGACTTGGGGTGGGGTTCCACCCATTACAAAAATCAAAGGCTTTTATAAAAAATGCTATAAATTGGTATCAAAAGAAAACCCAAGGGAGGTTGAAGAAAGCAGCGAGGGAGAAGGGAAGAGAGCAAGGGAAGGACCCAAACCTCCCACCATTATCAGTGAGGGAATCCAGGCTGGGACAGAAGGTGTGGGAGAAGTTGGGAAGGTGATACAAAGTGCATAAATGTGCCTCCCAGAGCTCGTCAGAGGTGGAGGGGAAGGAGGCTGCAGCCTCAACCTTAGTGGGGCTGGCTGTCTCCTCGTTCAGGGACCCCACAGGAATGGCACTGCCTGAGACTGCGGATGGGAAGGTCCTGCAATTGGGAAAGAGGACGAAAGTTAGGAATGAGATGAGGCTTCTGCTTCATCTGCCCTGTGCTAATCCCCCTGCTGAACCCAGTGATGAGAAGGTCCAGGTTAGGACCTCAAGCCTGGGGCTTACTGCACAGGCCAGCCACAGTACCTGGAGTGCTGGAGTACAGGGCACAGACTAGGATGGAAGCCCCGCCCCCCCACGCCCATTTTCCATCCCAGGACACACAAACCCTAACCTGTGACCAAACTTAGGAGAGCCAAGGGACCTAGCAAAGTTTGCAAACTTGGGCTCACTTACCTCTTTCTAGCCTCTCATAGAAAGAGGAGAGAGGAGCTAGAGGCTGAAAGAGGGGACAGGCCTCCCAAGCTGATCACACCAGGCCCTACTCTCACCTGACCCTCAGACTGGACCCAAGGCCAGGAGCCCATCCTCACCTTGGCCCCTTCTCAGACCTTCTTCTTCTTGAGCTTCAGGGCTTGTAGCCAGTTGGGCGATGAGCCTTCTGACCTGGAAGGCAGAGTGCAAAGGTCAAGAAGGCAAACCTTAAGGAAACTGAACACAATGAGAACACATGATAGGGAAAAGGCAGCCTGGGGCTCCATTGCAGGCCTGAACACCTCACTAAATGTGGAACAACTCAACCTCCTGAGTCTCAATTTTCCTCTTCTATAAAGTAGGATTTCTCTTCTCAGTCTAATACCCTAAGCTCAGGAGATACCTAGAGCTCAGTCACCTACCCTGAGGATTTCTCTGGCTTGGGAGGTAACGCGAGGGGCTTTCCCAGCCCTGGGACCTTGCAGGACTTGGAACGCTGGACTGAGGACTCCTTCTGGCTTGATTTGTTCTCTGTTGCCTCCCCCTCCTCAGCTGAGCGGTTCCGGGAGCGAAGCTTGGCCTGGAACATAGATACAAGATGGACAAGGAGCAAGATTCATAAAGTCAGGTCCGTAGCAAAAGGGTACAGTTCCCAGAACCAGGCCTGAACCCTTGTGTATTAGTCACTTTTCTGCTGCTGTGATAGAAATACTGACCAAAGCAATTTATAGAAGGAAGAATTTATTTGAGCTTACGGTTCCAGGGGAATTACAGTCCATCACGGCAGGGAGACATGGTGGCAGAGGTGGCTGGAGGAGGAGCAGAAGCTAAGCTCTACATCTTCCAGCAGGCACAGGAAACAAAAGAGAAACTGGAGATCCGGCAAGGCTTAAGAACTCTCTAAGCCCATCCCCAGTGACGTGCTTCCTCCAAGATAGCCACACCTTCTAAGACCTCCCAAAACAGCACCATCATCTGGGGACAAAATGTCCAAATACTTGGTGCCTGTGAGGGACATTTTCATTCAAACCACCATATCTTATGTGGTTCTTTTGCCTCTGTAGACAGGGAATAAAAGACCGGCCTCCCTCAGAACCAAGCCTCACCTTGATCACATCAAAAAGATGTAACGAACAAAATTCAGTAAACTGGGCTCAACAAAGATCCAGCATTTGCTTGTCTGCCTCCTCTACCAACAATGTCCCCATGGCCAACTCCTGTGCCTGCAAGGCTAAGGGCCCTGCCCAAGTTACCACCCAATCCTGGTCACTGTCAGGAAATAACTCCTGATTAGGTCAGGCCATGGCTGTACCTCCCCCCAGTGATCCCTACAACTTCTCCCTTCACCAGAGCTACAGTGGGCATGGTCTGTCCTCTACTACCCCCTTGGTTCTGGGATGAGAATGCATCCTTTTCTTCCTCCCATCAAACATGGCACATGGCAGAGGGTGAGCAGGGCACAAGGAGACTTCCCAGAGAAAGGTAAATGGGAAGAGGGCTAGGAGAAGGAATTAGGGAATGGATAGATGGACAAAGAAGAGAAAGATTTAGTACAAGGGGGCCAGCAAGCCAGATGGCTGGATGTGTTTGCTGAATGATCAGATGGTACCTTCAGGGCTGATGGGCTCAGGCCAGGAAAGAGGTTGACTTTCAGCCCTTTGGTGCCCAAGGACATCCGCGTCCGGCGGCTCTGAGGCTCCTCCACTACCTCTTCATCTGAGGATGGCACACGAGAAGCCCGTGGCTCTGCAAGTGCCAGAGGAGAGGTTCACAGCATGAGCAACACCTCAGGTTCCACCCTATCTCCAACCCAGACATCGACAGACACACCATCAAATAATACACTGATCCTACCTGTTGAATCTTGGAACAGTCGAGCATCTGAGTCTGCTGACTCTGACAGGCCCAGAGTGCCCCCAGGCCGGATGGCTGGGGCCCGGTGCCCACGCTTACGTCCTAGGTTGGCACGGCTCCGATACATGGCACTATCGAGGATCTCAGTGTCCTGCTCAAAATAATGGCTGTTGTTGGTCTGTGGTCCTGCCCCACCCCACCGGACCCCTCAACAGTACCTCAAGGAGCTGATGCCCATGGTAGTTTCCTGTTCCCACAAAGCACCTAAAGCCTGTGCTCTGTCTCCCATACTGACTGCTCAGGAAAGAGACTGTGGCTTAAGTTCCATCCTATCCCACCCCCTCCAAAAGCCCACCCATTACACCAGGCTCACCCTCCACTGACCTCCATGAAGGAGAAGTCCTCACTGGGGTAGCTGGACAGAGGTCCTTGAAGAGGCCGTCGGGGGGTTGGGGCCGGCTCCTGGTCGCCTTGCCTAGCCCGTGTAAGGCCCCAGGTGCCATCCATCCCTTCTGTCCGGCTGGCTTCACCATCAGGCTGAGGCCTTGAGGAAGGCAGAAGGTCCCTGCTAGGCTCCTGGGGTTCCCCTTGGCCAGCTCCTGCTGTGGCTCCTTCCTCCTCCAACAGGACCCTGAGGCCCGAAGCTGCCGAGTCCATTCGAGTAGCTGCCTTAGAGTTGCTGGCTGCCAGCATCCCCTCCAAGAGGCTCTGGGAACCAGAAGGTGGGGAGCGGGCCAGACACCTGCTGGGACTGCAAAGGGGACATACCAGAGATCAAGGTCATTCACCTACTGGTGAGACCCCATTGCTCTTCCTTGAAGAACACAGCACACAGGGGAAGAGCTGGGCCTGCCTGCCAGGTTCCAATGCAGGCTCTACCATACACTACAGGTTGGGCATCCTTTATCAAAATGCTCAGGACCAGAAGAGTTTTGGAATTTTTGAACTTTTCCAAGCTTTGAACTATTTGCAAACACAAATGAGCTATCTTTGTATGTAGGCATGTTTGTGTGCCTGCAAGCATACTGAGACAGAGAACAGCTTCAAGCGTCACTCAGCTGCTGTCCACCTTTATTTTTTTTTTTAAGACATCACATCTATTTATGTAGTGGGGTGCATGGACATGTGTGTGGAGGTCTAAGGACAACTCTCAAGAATTGGTTTTCTCCTTCCAACACATGTGTCCTGGGAGGTAGAAAGCCTCTGAGTTCAAGGCTAGGTTGGTCTACATAGTGAGTTCCAGATCAGCCAGGGCTACATTGTGAGATCCTGCCTCAAGAAAGAAAAAAAAAAAAAAAAAAAAAAAAAAAAAAAAAAAAAAAAACAAGAAAGAAAGGTAGGTGGGAGGGACGGCGGGGGGAGGGGGTGGACAGAGAGAGAAAGAAAAGTAATGGTTAAACCTGCACCTGAGGCCTTGCTTGAGTCCCTTCACCTCAAACACCTTGGGTTCCTGTACAGAGTCACTAGAGATGAAAAAATAAGGATCTAAGCCTTTCAGCATAACACCAGGCTCTCATTCCCAGAAATCACTGTTGCCTTGGGTTACTGCTGTCTGAGCTCCCTCAAGGAGCACCTGCTTGGGTGGTCACATTTTGGCGAGAAGGCAGGAACTGGCCCATCTGCCTTCAACCACACGTCATCTTCAGCACCCTTCACCTTGTAATTCTTTATGCCCCAGCCACACTGAACACACTGCCATCTTGGAACAAGCGGTTCTCTCCCCTTGCCTAGGAAGCTTCGGCACACCTGTCCCTCCCTGTTTCTGCTCGCACCTCATCATCCGAAGCTGTCTTGCTCCCTCCCCCAGCCAACACAGCCCCTCCCTCAGCCCTTTGAGCTGTGGGCCCCAACCTACACCAGTCCAGGACTCAGTCCTTTGATTCCCTGTCTCGAATGCCTGTCTGAGAGCTCCTCAAGACTGCCCCCAGGACCTGACCAGAGATCGGACCGTAGGAATGTTTGCTGAATGAATGAGAAGCAGGGTAACCTTGGACTTCAACACAGCAACGTGTCTTCTGCCCACTGCTCCCTCAGAGCACTAACACCAGGCTGGCACCACCCGCACCATCTCCAGCTGCCCCTCCCTGAAGCATGTACACTCATCACACACCTAGGGCAGGGTGGGTGTCCACCTCACCTACAGAGCCCAGAGCCACACCCTGGCACACCCCACTCTCACAGCATCCCAGAAGGGTAAGGGACGTTGGCGGGCAATGCCTGGAAGCGAGCTGCAGAGTCACAGACACTAGTGGAGAGGGGAAGAGAGAAAGGCAGGTGAGTCAATACTGAGCAGGAAGGAGACAGGTGGGGGGAAATGTGTCAGACTGTCCTTCCACAAGCTGCTGACAGATGGAAATTAAAGCTGTGTGGGAGGAAGACGGGGAGGGAAGAGGCGGCAGTGGCTACAGCAAAGCAGGACAGCAGTATCAAGAGCAGTCACGGACAGAGGCCCAGAGCCAACTCACCTTGAAGCCAGTTGAGAGCCTGGGAGGGGCAGCAAGGGCATCCCACCCACTAAGCCTGGAAAGCTAGACAGCTGAAGGGATGTGAACTAACCAAGGGGGGACAGAAAGATCCACTGTAAGGACAGAGGGCGGAGGGCAGTAGAGGATTCATGGAACATGGCAGAGCCCTGAAAAATGCAGTGTACGCCGACCCCAGGACCTCTGCCTTCAAGCACCTAGGCAGAAACTTGCCTTCCTAAGAGCCCAGAGCACCCACAACCTGGATGCTGAGACTGCCACCCCCACAAAGACCTAGGCTCTAGCCAATTTGTGCCAGCTTTAACTCCAAGTCCACACACCCACTCCAAGCCTCAGTTTCTTCATCTGTAAAATGAGGACAATAAAAATCCCAGAACTTCACTGACCTTACTGGCAGAAATAGATGTCTAGAATGTAGTTGGTAACTGATAAACATAAATTACTAAAATGGTCCTTGCTATCCTGGCCTTGTTATCAGGGGTCCTGGCCTGAGAAGATGCCTCATATTACACCATCCATACCCATCACCCAATCTAAACTGTAGAGTATCCCCAGGGCAGATTGCCCAATCCTGCCTTCCACCACTGCTTCAGGTACAAAAACAGGGGATGGCTCTGTAAAAGGCCTGGACTCTTGAGACCTAAAATGAAGAGGCACCAGGATTGGAAATGGGACAATGCACCTGAAGGGACAAACAGCTAACCTTGACCCCAGGGAAAGAGGACAGCAAAGCTAGGACCCACTGGAACAGAAAGAAATCACAATCGTAAGTTGTAGGAAGCTGTGTAAGTGGCACTGCCCCTCTGGGCCTCAGTTTCCCCACCCTTGGAATGAGGCTGCTGAACTCGATCTCTGAAGGTCTTCTTGGAGTCTACAAAGACTGAAAACTGCCTGCAGGAGTTCTGCATTGTTGGACCCAGAGGGCAGGAGCAAGAGCTGCCCACAGGAGGCCAGAGAGGGGACAGGACACTGCACCAGCTCTGTAATACCTAGGAGTACCATGCCTCCAGGATGAGGCAACCCTAGACCCAGAGGGACAACCCAAGCTCTCCCCACACCACCCACCTCCAGGCTGGTCTTGTCACAGCTGTGCCTGACAGCAGTCCGGCCAGTGATTACCATCAAGGATGTATCGGCAGGTTCGTACTGATCGTTTCGCATGGGTTAACCTTGTCCTCAGTGAAAGCCCGTGGAAGCTGGGAGTAAACTCTCAATTTAGGGTGGAGGAAAGGCACCCTAAGCACAGAAGGCCCTTGTCAGAGCTCACTGAGGTAGGGAGAGAATCAGGACCTGTAAATGAGCCCCATGCCAGACTATTCTGACCAATTCTCAGGGACTTCCTGCCACAAGAGGAACCTCCAAAATGTTCTTTAAAGAGAAGCATTTCACAGTGTGGAATTCCTCTGAGTCAGATGTTCAGAACACCAGCTCCAGTTTTGGAAACTGCATTGTTTAACTCCAAAGTCCTCAATATGCTAACAGATATACTAAGTCTCTTGGATGACTACAGAGCACATGGAACTTTCCAAACAAAAGATGGGACTGGTTTTCCTTAGGACATGTTTGAGAAAATCTGTGGGAAAGCACAACATCCACAAAGGCCTTCCCAAGGTTTCCTTCCAGCCGTGGAGGACACGTGCTTTCTGTCACGTACGATGAGGCTCACCTGCCTGCATCCAGGCTCAACTCTGAGCTTGGATAACCTCCACACTGGCTGGATGGCAGTAGAGTGGTTGTTTGGGGCTATGGAGATTCAAGCATCCTCACCATCAAAGCCTTCATCATCCTGCCACTATCCTGCCAGCCTGCAGGGAGCCCCCTCCCTCCATCCTAAACAGGAAAAACAGTGCCAGTTTCCCTCCTCAAGAACTATCGCCACGTGGGGCAGAGAGCTTCGAGTACCACTCCTTGGTAATCTAAGTTTTGAACATAATGGCCACACCTGAAAGCAGTTGACAAAGTCAAAAAGCCCTGTGATCTTAAGGTCACACCATCTCTCGCCTGCCAACAGGACAGGTTCAAAATCCCTCTCGTGCTTCTCAAGGCACCTGTGAAGATGAGATGCACAGCTTAATATTAGGCCACAGGGAACTGAGTGCCGGGAGGAAAAAGCACAGCAGGCATGTGGAACCCACGCTTTCTTACACCAGGAGTGTCTGCAGGGACCCTGGGTCTCCTGGGTGTAACTGGTAGAAACAGCAGTTCAGAGCCCAGCAACTAGTCCAGGCTCACAGGAACCACCCAACAGGTAGTTCTGCACATTTTCACTTCCCCTGCAGACTCCACTGCAGCCTTATCATTCCCTGGCCCCCACCCCTCCTCTCAAAAGCCGGTGGCCTGAGAACACCTTTCCTCAACTCCCCTTTCTGGTCCCATGCTCTCTCCCTCCACCATCTCCACACCAAATGCCTCTCTCAACCCTGACCCAGAGTCTCCCTAGCCCTTTCCTGGTTCCTCTGCTCTCCTCCCACTTCCATCTGCCCTTCCACTTAGAACAGTCCCCACCCAACACCTCCCTCCCCTTCCCTTCCCTTCCCACAGGCCCAGTGGGAAGCTCCCACTCTGGGTCTGGAAGAGGTAAAGTGTTCTCCACACTGAAGAGAAGAAAACCAAATCTCAATGGATGAAAATGTTAAGACACAATGCCTTTTTCACGCCCTTTCAATGAGATGTGGAACCTCAGTTGGATTCAGAGCACCCATGAGACTGACTGGCAGCCTCTTAGTCACTAGTCTGCCTCCTTGAAAGGTTCTCTTTCAGTAACCTTGGCTGGAGATCAAGGTCAAAGGGCTGGGACCTGAATCTCACAACTTCAGATTCCTGAACCACTATCTTCTGGGCTCTATGACAGGGCAGGCAAGAGTACCAAGTTCCTAACCTTTTGGCAAGTCAATAAGAACTACTATCCACTGTCCCCTAGGCTGTGGTGGTCCAGGCCAAGAAGATGCAGGGTCCCTTGCCCCTACTGTATAAGCATCTACCTTCCTAGCCCAGAAGCACCTGTGGCCTCAGAGCCACAGGTGGAGGTCCAGAGAACTCACCAGAAACGGGGCTGGGGAAGATAGCCTTGCAAGAATGAAAACCTGAGTGATTCCCCAGAACCCACGTAAAACACTAAATAAAAAATTCTTTTTTAAAAGCCAGACATGGTGACATGCACTTGTAATTCCAGCACTGGAGAAGCAGAAACAGGTAGACCTTATGTGGCTCTCTAGTTGGCCAACCTTGTCTACTTGGCAAATTCCATGACAGTGAGAGACCCTGTCACAAAAAAAGATGGACCGGGACTGGAGAGATAGCTCAGTGGAAGAGCACTGGCTGCTCTAGCAGAGGACCCAGGTTCAGTTGCCAACACCCACGTGGAGGTTAACCACTATCTGTAACTGCAGTTCCAGGGAATCCAAAGCCCTCTTCTGGCCTCCTCGGGCACTGCATGACACAGGTGCACTTACATACATGCAGGCAGGCCTAAATCGTACACATAAAATATACTTTTTTATTTTATTTTTTTGGTCTTTTTGAGACAGGGTCTCCATATAGCCCCAGCTGTCCTGGAACTCACTATGTAGACCAGGCTGGCCTTGAACTCACAGAGATCTGCCTGCCTCTGTCTCCGGAGTGCTGGGATTAAAGGTGTGTGCCACCAAGCCCGGCTTTTTAAATTTTTTTATTATTATTTTTATTTTTTATGTGTATGTGTGTATTGCCTACATGTAGGTTAAGTGCACCCATGTGGTGAATGCCCCCCGGAGGTCAGAAGAGGCTGTCAGATACCTTGGGACTGGAGTTACAGACAGTTGTTAGCTGCCATGTGGGTGCTGGGATTCGAACCTGGGTCTTCTGCAAGAACAACCAGTGTTCTTAACTGCTGAACCATCTCTCCAGCCCCCTTTAAAAATATTTTTAAGAAGGCAGATGTCCTGGGTGATCAGGGGTGCATGTTTAAAAAAAAAAAAAAAAAAGATGCATGGCACCAAGAATGACTGCAGATGCAGAGGTTGGTCTCCAGTCTCCAAATGCATAGTAGCATGCACATGTGCATCAATACACAAAAGTGCACCTGACACATATACACACAACAAAGAACTCACCAGAAACCATCCAAATTGTGGCAGATTCCACAGATTCCAGATTCTCATAACTCAGAGTCACCAAGAAAACCCAGAACAGGAGTAGCAAAAAAGTACCTCAAATTTTTCATTCATTCTCAAAATAAGAACTCACCTGTCTCCCCAGTAGAGATCCAGAGGGAAAGCTGGTTCTTCCCTCAGAAAGATTCTACTTTTTAAGAGTGGTCACATATTCCCTCCCAACCCCTAGATGGAGAATCTTACCTGGCTCTCAAGCCGGGGGCTTCTGTCTCCATTCCAGGGTCTTCAGGGCGGGTCTCAAGAGAAGGTGAAGAGCCATCTTCACCCCGGGTTTCTGGTCCACTTGTTTCACCGACTCCCAGCTCCCTGGTCTCCAAACCAGGGGACAAGCTTCCAGTATTCCTGAAGTCTAGCTCTAGCTCAGGGCCCACCTTCCCCACCCCATGCTCCCTAACTTCACTCAAGGGCCCAGAGAGTTCTGTGTTCCGGAGTCCCAAGTCCTGAGCCCAGGCCATTTGCCCCACTCCACAGCCCCGAGAACTCCCAGACTCTAGGTCACAGGGCACCTCCAGATTACTCAGACCTAGATTGTCACTCCAGTCTACTTGACCCACCCCAAGCTCCCTGGGCTCTCCAGGGCTGCAGCCTGCACCCGGGGCCATGTTTCTCAGCCCAAGATCAGGTGTCCAATCTGCCTGTCCGACTCCACGCTCTCTTGACTTAAGGAACTCTCCAGCCTCCACACCTGACCAGTCAGGCTCCCCTACGCCACTCTCTCTGGGCTGGCTATAGCCTCCTACTTCTCCCAACCCAGGCAAATCTCTGTTCTTCACCCCAACATCAGAAATCCAATCCTTCTCCCCAACACCCATCCCCCTGGGCTCTTCAGACCCTCCAGTCCCCAAACAGTGGGTGAGGTCCAGGCTGTCTGACCAGCCCATCTGTCCCACTGCATTCTCTCTGGCTTCACTCGAACCTCCAGAACCCACACAGCTGGACACTTCCAAGTTCCTGAGACCCAGCTGGTCAGTCCAGTCCACAGCCCCAGCCCTGCTTTCGCCAGGAGACACGAAGTGGCCACCTCCCATCTTCCTGGAAGGACTTGCGCCAGCACCGCTCGATCTATCGTTGCCGATGATGCCAAACTGATAGCTACCCTCAGTGGCCTCCATGCACAAGTCCCTGCTCCAGTCTGGCTGCCTTGAGCTAAATGCTCCCTCTGATTGGGCTGTGACACCGAGGCTGAACTCCCCAGGCCAGCCTCGCTGCCCTGTCTCTTTGTCTTCCAGCTCAGTGGTGTCAGGGCTCTGACCTCCTGCCTGTGTTCTCCCCTGCAGCCCTGTGATCTCCTGGCTGGAGTCACCGTCTTGCCAGTTGCCCTGGTCTCTCTGCCTGATTGCCCCATCTTGCAACTTGGAGGTGCTAGGGCTCAACAGGTCCCCCGATTCTCCCACCTCTGGCTGGCCTGCACCCCTGCTGGTCTCATGCAGGCTGTCTTCACCACTTGGAGTCTTCTTCTCAAACTCCTCATCCTGCTGCTGTGCTTCCTCGGGGCTGAACCCGGAGTTCAGGGCTCGGGTCCCAAATCCTCTGTTCCGTGAGTTTAGGGCCCTGGAGCCACTGGTGCTGTAATCCTGTAACCAAGCACTCTTCCCAAACTCCTGGTCCTGCTGGGCTGTGGCCTGGGTGCCACAGATGTCAAGTAAAGAATTTCTCTTCTCAAACTCCCGGTCTTGTTCCTCTGCATCCCGGCTGCTATAGCTGCCCGGGTGGCCCTTCATGCCCAGTTCTTGACCCTGCTCACCTGCATCCTGGTTAGTGTAAGCACTCAGAGAATCTCTCTTGCCAAACTCCCAGTCCTGAAGGCTTGCTTCTCGGCTGCCATAAGAACCCAGGGAATCTCGCTTCCCAAATTCCTGGTCCTGAAGCTCTTTGTCCCGACTGGAGTAAGTGCCTTGGGAATCCCTCTTCCTGAATTCCCATTCCTGTGCATTGGTCTCAGGGCTCTGAGTGCCAAACTGAGCTGGCTTTCCCACTGCCCATTCGTGGACAGACACTTCACTCCCGTTCTGGCTGCTGCTGACGTCTCTCACCTCTTGGCCAAGGCTGCACCTGCTGGCCCAATCCCTACTGCTCCCTTCCCCAGCTCCTTGCACATATTTGCTGCCCCAGTCCCTTTCCCCAGGGCCTGGGTCTCCACCAGGGCTCTTGCCCCCAAGGCTGTAGTTCTGAGAAGCATCTTGAGACCAGCTGGCAGACCTGAAACTGCCAGCATGTGGGTCTGCTGCCACCCCAAATTCACTCTGCAGATCTTTCTGGGCCCAGCCAAGGAGTCCCTGGGAAACAAGAAAAAAAAAAAAAAAAAACACAAAGAAATGTTACAGTCAATCAAGGTGGGAGGCAATCCAAATTGAGACTCCGTGCTACCAAGTGTCTGAGAGCCCCACTTTGGCAACTAAGTGCCTAGGTTTGGATTTCAGCTGTGTGCCCTTGAGCAAATCACTTCACTACTCTGGGCGTAAGGAGCCTCATCCTTAAAACAGGGATAATTCCCACTACTTGGGGCTTGTGTGAAAGGATCAATCAAGACCATTTAAACAGCCTGGCACACACACTGGGGCACTCAGTTGATAGGTCTATGGTCATGTTTACAGCCCTTGGGCAACACCTGGCTAAATGCCAGGAGAAATCCTGCCTGAAGGGGAGGACCGCACATAGGACTGGGGGACGGGGTGTACTTCCAATGAGGGGGTGCCGTTTTGCAACTTCCTTTGCAAAGGAAGGTTCTCACACCAGCATAGCTCTTATAAGCCCACGAGTAGCACCCTGGCCCTTCCTCTGAAGGAAAGACTTTCTGCATAGCCTTTTCCAGAAGATTCCACCCTCAGCCTGCCCAGGAAAGCCAGGAGCGGCAGCCTATGGTACAGAGCTCCTTGCACCCCCACCCAACCTCCCCTGACTCACCCCAGAGGGAGGGCGGGCATGGGGCTCAGGGCCTCGGAGCCTGCCAGCCTCGTCTCGCAGCGCCGCGTTGGCCAGCAGCCGTTCCAGGACAGACATGCTGGCCTCCCCATCCTCAGGCTGGGCCATGCCCCACTCCCCACCATCGACCACCCTGGGGCTGCTAGGTGCGTCAGGTGCTGGGACAGGGCTGGGCTGCTCCCCTAGCCTGGACCTGTCCGACTGCTCTGGCTCCCGCCTGCCCCTGCCCTGCTCTCCTGCTCCCGGGGCAGCAGCAGCTTTGGCAGCCCCGCCCAGAAGCCAGATGAGTCACCAACATCCTGGGACAGACACACCTCCTGAAGGAGTCAGTTTGGTGTTAACCCTTCCGGCTCCTCCTCCTCCAGGCTCCAGAGGCGGGCGGGGAGGGGGTGGTTTGGGGGGGGTGGAGGGGGGGTCTGCCTTGCCTTCAACTCCGCCCCAACCAGTCCTGGCCAGGATTGAAAAATAAATTTCAAAAGCCACCTGGATCCTAGCCCTTAAACACAGGAGGCAGCCTGGTAGGAGAAAGAGCACTGAGCAGACAACTGGGCTGGCCTTGGCCCAGGCCCAGCTACCAACTTGCTGGGTAACTCTGCTCAAGGCTCCACTTCCTCTGGGGTCTCAGCTGCCGGTCTACAAAGCACAGCTTTGGCCAGGATTGAAAAATAAATTTCAAAAGCCACCTGGATCCTAGCCCTTAAACACAGGAGGCAGCCTGGTAGGAGAAAGAGCACTGAGCAGACAACTGGGCTGGCCTTGGCCCAGGCCCAGCTACCAACTTGCTGGGTAACTCTGCTCAAGGCTCCACTTCCTCTGGGGTCTCAGCTGCCGGTCTACAAAGCACAGCTTGAACTCAACGGTAATTCCAGTTGTAAAAGTGACACTTATTAAGCATTTATGACAACGCCATCCTCAGTACTTTACAGGTCCTAACTCATTTAATCCTCTCATTCTCAGATCGGTCACCCCATTTTACAGATGTAGAAACTGAGGCTGAGGGTGGAAAAGTATTTCGTTCAAAGTTACTTCTAAGCAAAGAAACACAGAGCCAGCTGAGCCCAGGTACTCTGGCTGCACTATCAGGTGAACCCATGCCTTCAAAGGCTGCACTTTTCTGCCTTGCACAATATTCCTAGGAATAATAGGCTGAACACTTAGCATATGTTACTCACTGCATGAAGCACTTTCTCCATTTAATTTTACCCACAATACAACTCTAAAAGGTAAATGTGGGGGCCTGGGGATATGGCTCAATCAGTAAAGTATTTGCAATGCAAGCATGGACCTGAGTTTGGATCCCAGTGCACACATAAAAGCTGGGCATGGCAGCACATGTCTGCAATTCCAGGGCTGGGGAGGCAGAGACAGGGGGATCCCTGAAGCTCACAGGCCAGCCAGCCTAGAGAATGGGTGAGCTCCAGGTTCAGTGAGAGATCCTATCTCAAAGAAATACAGAGGAGCGTAATTGAAGAAGACACCTGGCATCGATCTATGGCCTACACACATGAGCAAGTGTGCAAGTGGTCAGTCACACACACACACACACACACACACACACACACACACACACACTGCAAATGTTCTTACCACAGTTGAACGAAGCTTAGAATTAAGATTCACTCCCAAGACTGCTCAGCTAGTAAATGCTGGTGTCAAGATTTGAACTCATACAACTAAGCCCTAAGCACCACCCTGTGCAGCTCTGCCAGCTAATCACAGAGATCCTAGGGAGGTGCAGGTCCACAACTACCCTGCACAGTGAGGCATCCATGCTGCAAGAATGAAGCCCACCCAAGCTTCAGCCTTAATGCCTCCTCCCTCCCTATGCCCAGCCTTACCTCAGGGCAGGTGCTTGGGGACTGTGCATCCTTCAGCTCAGATGAAGCTCCCCGCCTTGTACTGCCAGAGCTGGGCGGTGGTGATGCCAGGAGATCATCCAGCCAGCGAGAATTGGTATCTGGGCCCGTAGGCTCAGGGGAGGCTCTACAGGAGTCGTGAGCTTCTGTCCTGGGCTGGGTGGTCTCTGCCCAGGCTAAGGTCACCGTCTCCTCCTCAGCAGGCAATGCCTGACCAGGGTCAGGGGCATCAGCAAAAAGGACGCAGGGTTGGTCAGGGGGTGTTGGCTGCTGCTGCCCCAGGATGGGCTCCAGCACAGGTAGAGCTGCCTCCCTGGTGGCCAAAGGGAGGGGAGTCTCCTGCCCAGCCAGTGGCCCCTGGTCCTCATATCTCTCCTCCGCCTGCAGTAAGGGTGTTCCAGATGGGCCCTCAACTGCAGAGAGAGGGACAGCTGGGGACTGAAGCTGACTCTCTCCATCATCCCTTGGGGGTGGGGAGATCCCTGGATCGTCCCACTGACCTCCAGAAATATGTCTTCCTGGGCTCTCTGGAGCTGATGGGGCCCCTGATCTCTGCTGGGATACTCCTTCCTCCCTGCCAGACACAGCCCAGTTGCCAGCCTCAGCAGCCTCAGCGGCCTCACTGGCTTCTGTAATGGGAGACGGGGGTGGGGAATCCAGCCGCCACACACCCAGACCCGAGGGCCGAGTGGGGAAGGTCCACTCAAATGACTGTGACAAACTCCAGTTAGACTCTGTCCCACTCCCAAAGGGACGATCCAGAGCTGACTGGCTCCCCTGGGCTTGGGGCAGGGCAGCCAGTGAGCCCCCAAACTTCTCTTGGTCCTGGCTGGGTGGTCGAAGCACCCCTTCTGAGAATCGGCGCTGAGTCAGGCTGCTGGGACAGGGGTCTGAGTGACCCTTGGCTACTGCCTCCTCCCCACATGGGAACGTCCGTGTGAGATGCAGCAGGTCACCTCCCTCAATCAGGGGCTGGGGCGAGATGGGTGGGGGCTGCTCTGGGCTATGGTGGCTGTGGACTGTCTCCACAGGAGGGCTGTTGGATCTGGGTGTCTCTGGGGTGACTTCACTAGGTAGGTCTGGGCTAGGGGGATGGCAGGGGCCCTCATCAGGCAAAGCTGCACTGGGAGAGGCTATAGTCACAGGGCAGCAGAGAGAGGCATCAGGAGCTGCAGGACTCTGCACTTCTGAAAAGTGAGAGCGTTGGGGAGAACTCGGATGGCTTGAAGGATGGGGAGACCCGGGGGCTGGAAGGATTGGGCTGCTGGAGCCTCCATGCTCTGAAATGGGGCCTGGACTTGAGGCTACCCAGGACTTGGAAACCTATAAGAGAAAAGTCAAGAGCTGTCTGTCACTCATGCTTCAGTGGGGCCCAACCCCACATAGACCCCAGGTCAGCTGGGAAAAGTCCAGAAGGTGAACTCAGGTAGGATGTCCCCAGCTTCCTGGGGTCACAGAGCCCTCCTCCAGCAGGTGATCGCCCCAGAAAAGGCACCCAGCTTTTATCTACTTGACATCATTCTTACTATTTCAGTGGTTCAAAACCCAACCAAGGCTCACCTAAGGACCTCTTCTAAGAAGCCAGTTTAGAGGGAAAGAACATGCTTTGTAAAGGGAAAAATATAAAAGGGGACTGAAAATCTGGGCATGTGGGAGTGGAAAGTCAGAAGCTTGCCTCGCGACTCTAAGCTCACTGCAGCCCCAGAGCGGCTCCCAGAAGCAGCTTCAGGTGGAGAAGTGAAGCTCCCTCCCCTGCTCTGACACCCACAGGTCCCACAGCTAACCAAGGAAGCAGGGAAATCATGGGATTCAGGCAGAGAGCAATGGGGGCCCAGAAAGGCATGTGATAAGAGTCTTCCCAGCACTGCCTCCTAGAAGCTGAACGCTTCCCACCCAAAGGGTCTCTGGGCCTCAGCTTCCCATCTGTACGCCTGGGCCAGTGGAGACAATGTCCACCTCACAGTTAGATAAAGATTAAATAAGACTCCTGCACATAGCCCCTGGGTATACAAAGAAAATGACTGCTGTGGGATTCTGGGAGGAGAGAGGGAAGACACCAGGGAAAGAAAGGAGGCAAAGGTGACGCCAGGCCCCCTGGCTCTCCCTCACTGTGCCACTCTGCCTGTCACCAAACAAATAAAACAAATCTGGCTCTTGCCCCAACCTCTGCACCCCACCATATGAGGTTATGACCCCAGACCCCAGCTTTCAGTGAAACACATATTTTGTTCCACCATGGTCGTCTGGGTCTGGGCGGCAGGAGTCCTAGTTTGTCTCTAGGCCCCTCCTGTTCCCCAAACATTCCCTCCCTGCAATTCTCCAGTTTCCCAGCTCATCTACCCATGGCTCCTGCTTGCTAAGTCTCCAGCAAGACACTCATTCCTTGAAAATAGTAGCTCCTGGATCACTGGGGCTCCCAGCACCACTTTTATAATTCATAGTGATCTCAAGAGCAGAGTCAACCCTTCTAGCATCCTGGCTCCCTGGCATAGATTCGGTGTCCCAGCTTCCCCCACAGGCACACACCAGGCCCTCCTCCTTCCCAGTAACAACCACCACCACCAATCTCAATTTCAGGTCTACCACTGGCCCATCCCATCGCTCTCTGACTTGTTGGCTCTATGTCCCCAACTCTTCAACCCCTCTGGGAAGCAAAAGCCATTGACACCACTTCCTTCTTACAGCTCCACCTTCCTTCATAACCCTTACTGTCACACAACACCATTCTCAACACCCTCATTCCCTTCATCATACTGATTCCAAGCTGTTTAAATACAGCTCTCTGCAAGCCTAACACCCGAGAAGCTGGATGTGCCTGGAGAAAAAGACAGCAGTAGTGGCTGATCTCCCTTTGGATTCATCACTGACCTCAAACCAGTCCCAGAGTGCCCAGTAAAGCCACTGTACCTTTTCCATTCAGCCCACAGGTAACACGTCTGCATGCCTCTCCTCAAACCTCCAACACCTCCTCCTTATCCTCTCTTAGCTGTTGGCCTTGCCTCCTATTCCCTGAGAACGGGAGGCCATTAGCAGAGACACCCACACTCTGCACCCTCTCCTACCCTCCACCACCTGCAGGAGAGCCCAAGGGCTTAGCCTCTCCTTCCGTGACCAGGTACTGTCCTTGCTCCTGGCCAAAGCCAACCCCTCCACTCTTGCATCACTGGTTTTTCCCATCTACTGGATCATTTCCACCAGCACACCAACTGCTCTACTTTCTTCTGCTTTAACAAAGGGGGGGGGAGAAGGAGGAGGAGAAGGAGGAGGAGGAGGAGGAGGAGGAGTAGGAAGAAGACAGAGCATCAGTGAGCAAAAGCAGTCATAGCAGGAGGAGGAGGAGGAGGAGGGGGAGGGGGAGGGAGGAGGACGACGACGACCCTTGGCCCACATCTCTCTATAGCTACTATCTGTTTTCTTCAGTTCCTCCTGTCCCCTCCTTTGGACCCACTCCAAACAGGCTTTCTCCTTCACCTTGCACCTACTTGTCAAGGTCACTGAGGACCTCCCTGCAGCTAAATCCAACCTGGGACAGAGGGGTCTGGCAGCTGCTGGCACCCTCTGCAGTCTGAGGCTTCTTCCCTTGGCCAGTTGCTCTCCCAATCTCCTTTGTCATACTTTGGGCCTCTTTCCTCCACAGAATACCTACTCCTTTGGTGACTTGACCTAATCTCTGCCACCATTTCTACACTGACAATTCCCAAGACTTCCTTTCTAACTGACTATCTCTAGCTAATCACCCAACTGATATTTCCATTCAGATGTCTAAAGAGCATCTTTATTCAATAAACCCCAAAGCAAGTTTCTTATATATCTCCTAGCCCTGTTAAACCCTTAAGTCCCAGCTCCATTAGCTACTTCTAGGGTCCAAGCCACCATCATCTGTCACCTGGATTATTCCAACAGTCCTCTAGCTGGTCCTGCCTGCTGGTCTGATCTCTCTGCAGCCCATTCTTAACTCAGCAGGCAAGACATCTCTTTACAATTAAGTCACAGGTACCACTCCTCTACTCCAAACCCCTCAACAGCATCTTCTCACTCAAGCCAGTCCTCAGAGCACCATCCAGTACGATAGCTCAGTCATTACTACCACTCAGTTCCTCTCTCACTGCAGGCCCCAGACCTCCAGGCTTCTTTGCCTCCGCACATGCAAAGCCCTCTGCCAAGAATTCTGTTCCCAGACATCATACCGCTCACTCCCTGACCTATGCCGTGAGGCCTTCCTACTAACCCCGCCCAGCACTTGACCTTACTAGCTCTCCCAGAACTTGTTCAACACCTTGTGTATCTGCCAGCTTACAGGATGTCCATCTTAGTGTCTGCCTTCCTGCTTAAGTGAGCTTCCTTACAGCAGGCACAGGGCACACTTTGTTCTCAGCTGTCTCTGCTTACAGCAGACACATACATAGAGTCAGGTCTCTATCACAGGGCACTTATGACAGCATCTAGCTGACAAAGTCTTTCTAAGAAAGAAGGGCCCTTTTTCACATGGTTTGCTCAGGAAATCAGGCTCTGTCAGAAGAAGGGATGAACAGAAAGCTCACATTCTCCCCGTTTCTGAACTCAGAACGAGCAACCCAGTCAGGGAGCATTCTGGAATCAGACACTTCAGCTCCTGTCCCAGGCCAAGTGAGTCCTGGCATCCTCATGAGGGGCTGAGAGGGCCGCTAGCTAGTTATCAAAAGGATTAAGTTGGTTAACACTCCTAGGACATGCCCAGCACACAGAAGGGGCTTGGTCAGCGCAGTGCTACGGGTATCATAATTACTATTCCTAATGAGCAATGCCGTGGCTGGACCCACACTTAGCCCCCATGTTGGCCGGGAACACAGCCTGTGAGTTGAAAAGTTTGAGTCTTGGAGCCAGTCCCTGTTCCCATCTAAACTACAAGGAGAGTAGAGGAGCCAACCTTGGATGACTCTCCAGTTGTACTCATAACAGGAAGATAACTCACCTCTGTAGATGGCTCTGACCTAGCCAGTTTGGCCAGGTCCCCATTCACAGCCAGGCTGGAAGTGTTGCTCCTGCGAGAAAGACAAAAAAGGAGGTACAAAACTCTGCAGTCTGCCACAGAGTGGGAAAACAGGGGGCATGGGGTCTCCCCAAGCAATTTTTTTTTTTTGGCCTTTTTAAGACAGGGTCTCCCTGTAGCCCCAGCTGGTGTGGAACTCGCTATGTAGACCAGGCTAGCTGGCCTCAAGCTCACAAAGATCCCCCTGCCTCTGCCTCCCAAGCGCTGGGCTCAAAGGCCCGCGCCACCCCCCTCGGCCCCCCAAGCAATTTTTTTTTTTGGCCTTTTTAAGACAGGGTCTCCCTGTAGCCCCAGCTGGTGTGGAACTCGCTATGTAGACCAGGCTAGCTGGCCTCAAGCTCACAAAGATCCACCTGCCTCTGCCTCCCAAGCGCTGGGCTCAAAGGCCTGCGCCACCACTCTCGGCTCCCCAAGCAATTTCAATCACACCCAAAGATTAAACACCTAGGCATTTATTCCTGAGGCTGGCCTAGAACCAGTCAGGATAAGGAAGCTAGATAGTGTCCACAGAGCAAATGCCCAGAACACAGTACCTACTCCTTTCCTACACACACAGGGTTAATCCCCCTCCCCTTTTTTTAGGAACAGTATCTTATGCGTCCAGATCCCTCAGGGGTTCCCATGAAGCCGATAGTGCCCTCCCCTAACCCCTAAGGGGTTAACCCTCATCTCCAGCCTGAGAGCGCAGCTGGTCCCTGGCTTCCCGGCCAATATTTCTGGAAGGATTGGGGGGTGGGGGGTTTCCAAGACTGAAGCTGTTCATCTCAAACCCAGAAGGATGGAGGGAGGAACCCAGGCTGGGAAGCCCTGGTCCTGGACAAGCAAAGGTTAACTTCCCAGCCCAGCCTCCAGGCATTTTCAGGTGAGAGAAGGGGAGGCTGAAGGGCTGGGCAGGGCAGGGCAGGGCAGGGCTCTCAGCTTCCCTTCCTGCTCTGCCCAGACCACAGCAAAGCTGTGCCTCCACAGTGGGAGGGAGAAGGACAACTCTGAAACTAACCAGGTCTCAAGCTGCTGCTCCCTTGCCCTGAAGTCTTGGCCCCCCAAATCCAGACCTCTCCTCCATGCCCTGTAGCCACTATCCCAAGGGGCCCCTCCTAGTCAGTCTTCCTTTACATGTGGGCCAACTATGGGGAAGAAGTACATCCTGGGAAAATGTCTCCAAATAGCAGAAATCTCTCTGCAAACACTAGCTAAAGTAGCATTAAAATGTGTTCCTGTCTTATCTCTCCCATCAGACTCCTCATAGGCGGGACTGTGCCCTACAGATTCCAACACACCTCCTCCCTGGGACCTGGCACAGCATTCTGCCACAGAAAGAGCTAGCAGTTAAGATCACAGGCTTTGGAATCATACACATCTGAATTCAAACTGAGAGACTCTGGGAAATTGGGAGTCTGAATTCCCAATCTCTAAAATAGAGCTAATCGTCCCTTCCCCAAAGAGTACAGCTATGGATTCAGTGGGCAAAGTTTGATGCCCAGCTCTCAGTATACAGATTACAAGCAAACTTGTACACTGAACATTAGGACTATCTAGTATAACATGTATCAACTCTGTTAAGAGAATTTTGGTAGTTAAGATCACACAGTAATTGGGCTGGGGATGTAGCTCAGTGATAAAGCATTTGCCTAACATGTGCAAGGCCCTGGGGTTCAATCCCCAGCAATACACACACACACACACACACACACACAAAAAAAAAGACCCTCATTAACGATAACTGCTACAGAGATGCTCTGACTTAGACTGGGTCTGCCTGTATTGACAGCACACAATCTAAAGGTAAAGATCATAGCCCAAAATGGGGTCCACTTGCTCCCTAGCCTCTGACCACCATGACTACATACAGCCTCCTAATCCTTACCTCTCTTCAGGGATCTGGCTATGTTCTTCCTGGCACTCTGCTGGAGACTTTGCCGGCCCCTCCTGGGACCATGCCCTGGTGGGGGTCTTATCATCCTCCTGTCTGGAGCCAGTGACCACACCATAAGTCCTGGGGCCATATCGAGAACTTCCATCATGGTTAAAGGTGAGGCGGGATCCCCAGAGGCGGTCAGGGCTGGCAGGAACCTCCTTCCGAGGCTGTTCCATCTTGGCCAAGATCTCTTCCACAGTACTAGCTGCAAACCGCTCAGAAGATGGACGGAAGGGGGCAGGGGCCTTCCTCACACCTCCTGGGGCGGCACATCGAGCTGGGGGTGTTAAAGGGGGCAGATCTTCTTTCCCACCCTCCTCTTTCCCAGACTCCTGGGTAATTTCTCCAGCAGATGCCTCAGCTGTAAGTCTTGGTGCAAATGGGAGGGGACGCTTGCTGCCACCATAGGGCTGGGGTCCAGCCAGCATGTTCATCTTTCTGGCAGAAGGTAGCTCAGCCAGGGGACCCCGAGGAGGCCGAGGCCCAACAGGCACCAGAAGGCTGGGCTTGGCAGGCAGAGCTGGCTTGCTGGGCAGAGCCCGGGGCTTGGGCTTGACAGGGGGCTTGGCCCGAGGGTCACCTGCCAAAACACAAAGATCAGTGCAAAGCTGTCAGAAGAACCATGAAGCATAACTTCTTGTGATTCCTGCTCCACCAAACCTCCCACCCTCCAGTTTCAGGGTGTTCTCCTTCTAGGCTGCCCCACTCCATGACCTTCCTTGACTTTTTATAGCTACCCCAGATGCAGCCTCTTTTCTCCAAACTCACAAAACATTTGGCCAATTCTTCATCTAAAAAGCTAAAGCTATTTATGGGTGCTGGCACACCTTATTTCTCTTACACCCTACTTTGCACCTAGCACACGTTTCTAACGAATGAATGAGTGAATGAGCCAATCAAAGAACGCCTGCCTACCCCATCACGGAGTCAGTCCCGTTACCCAATTTATTCCTGTTCCCCAACATGATGCTATATACTATATCTCCACAGTGACCTCTATCCCAGCTGAGCTCCGCCCTGCCTCCCTGCTGCCCCCTCCCCCTGCAGACTCCCAGGCCACCTCCTCAATGTCATCCGGTGTGATCAGGAATGCAAACTTACTATTGACCTAAGCCAAACAGAAGTAAATCGGCCACAGGAAGGAGGAAAAAAAAAAAAAAAAGGCCAGAAATCTACCTTCTATACAAGGCATCCCAATGCCAAAAAAGAAAGACCTTGGAATTACTCATGGCCACAACCCTTCTATAATAGAATCCTGGATCACCCACTCATTCAGCTAAGTGTAAAAAAAAGTCTAGACAGGGAGAAGGCTTGGCCTCAAGGCCCTGAAGATGCACTCTATTTCTCCTTCTGTGCCTCAGGGTCCTCTTCCCAGAGGTCCTACCTGCTCTCAATCCTGTCTCCACAGGAGCCAAAGCCCTTCCAAACTCATCCTGTACTTGCTCCCTCTCACCTCAACAGAAGTATCACTCAACTACCCCTAGGACAGAATAGGGGTGCAGCCTCTACCCCCCACCCTTCTTCCAGTCTCCGGCTCCACCCTGCACCCATCACCCATTGGTACCTGGCTCAGAGCCCACAGGCACCAGCTCCTCCTCCATCTCCTGGGGCGGTGGGGAAGCCATGGCTGTGCTTTCCCTGAGAGTAGATATTTTCATCACATGCAGCAGACCCTGCTTGAGAGATGGGAAGCAAAAGGATGTGAGCTGGAGTAGCTGAAGACCCAGGAAAGAGGGAGGAGAATAAGGAAAAGGGTTGGGTGAGGCAACAGCTTAGCCAGGGGAGTCTCCTATTTCTAGTCCAGGTTGTGTGAGACAGGAAGAGAGAACTTCAGGAGGTGGTCGAGGGAGGTCCCCACAGCTGCATCCTCAACTCTTCCCTGAACTTCTCCAACTCTTGATTCTCAACCTCAAAGATCGGAAGCTTCAGGGTGCAACCTCTACCGGACTCCACCCCCAAGCTCCCTCCTGTGACACCCCACTTACAGTTTCCAAGGCACCCTCCCCCTAGGGTCAGGTGGACCCACTAGGAGGTCTCCACTCCCTGCAGAGCAAAAGGGCTAAAGTCTCTAAATCACCTCATGGGAGACGGGAAAAACCCGCTCCTCCCCAACCTGGGGCTCCGCCCCACCGCCTGCCTCTCCCCCCCATTTCCCGTTCTCCCTCCCTCTCTCCCTCCAAGCTGGGAGTGGCTCCCTACTCCCCCCCCATTCTCCTTCCACATCCTTGCCCCCCTCCCTTCTCGCTCAGAGCTGCCTCATCCAAACACGGGAAAATAAGAAATAAAAAGTAAACATCTGGAATACATTTTTTTCTTTAATTTCTCAATCGCTTTGGCTTCAGCTTGGAATTTGATGAGGTAAAGCCAGGGCCTAGTCCTGTTACCATAGCAATGGCCTCCCACTGGATTTCCAGAGCCTAGCCAAGAGGAAGGAGGAGCTGGCCCAGGCTGGGCAGGGAGAAAGGGACAGGGCTTGAGAACATCCGGGGGATGGGGTAACTTGGAGGAAAACTCCCTGGGGTTCCCCCTTCTAGGACAGTTAGGGAGGGCCCAACATAGCCTGTGAAATGGGAATGTGTGTGCATCACCAATCTGCAGATGGCCTAAAGGAGTTTTGAGGGGGACAGAAGAAGAAATTAAGCCAGATGATAGCCACATGGTAGGCTCCTGTGACAGAAGCTTCCGGGTGAGATAGTCTAAGATTCAGCTGTTGAGTGGGTCTACCATTTTACAGCTGTGTGACTTCTCTAAAGGCTCAGTTTCCCTATCTGAAAACTAGGGTGATTGAGACTGGACATTTAAGTCAGACAATGCATGCAGAATGCTTAGCACAATGCCAAGCACATAAGTGATCAGTAACATCAATAACGGATGGCCATTATTACTGTGACCACCATTTGGTGCCACCAATGAGCTAACAAACATCCTTGGTAATCAGTACCTCTGCCTTTACCTCAGGGCTACCCACATTCTTAGAACATTCCTAGACCGTTCCTTCACTCCCCTGGGCCCTGTCATGTCACCTGTTCTTCAGGCACTCCACCTCCTCAGTTCCCATCCTGGCTGTTCAAGCACCCTCCCACCCACAAGACCCCTCCAGGCTGTCCAGCCTGGTGAAGAGAGCCCTGCCTCTCCAGTTCAAAAACAAGAGAGAAGCAGCCAAACGCCTGGAATGCTCACAGCCCGGGGGGGGGGGGGGCACCCAACCCTCTCCAACCTGCACCAGGTGGCAACCTGAAAGCCACCCAGTTCAAGCTGGTCTAAGCAAGCAGCTCTCAATCCTAAGAAGGGACTTGTGGTCCCCTTTGACCCTATCCCACCTTGTTTCAAAGATAGGAGAAGGTGAAGAGAAATCTGGCACTACGAACCCGTAGATCAGCCAACTACCACGGAGGACTGCGTCCCTGTGCGTGGGAGAATAATGTGCGGCAGAGGGATGATAGAAAAAAAATAAAATAACACAAGATTGTTTCCTTGTCCTTGAACAAGGGACATGGTGTAGGTGGTCAGAAATGGAGACGAACTAGCCCCGAACAGAAAAACCCTCTCACCTGGGGGCCTGACGGGCACCTCTGCGGTTAGAAGGGTCGGAGTCCCCAAGTGGGGAGGTGGCCACGGGAGCAGAGAGGCCCCAGCCTAGAGCCCCAGGTGCCCAAGGCCAAGGCCAGAAGCTGAAGAATCGCCGCGGCTCAGAGAACTCCCCACCCTTAGAGATCTAGGAGAGCCAAGCGACCCTGGGAGCTGAGAAGGAACTGGGCAGCCCCAGACCCAGAGAGACACGCAGAGGGGCCTGGGCGCAGGCCGGGTCGTCCCTAGGATTTCCAGCTGGATGTGGGGCCAGGAGCGACAATACGTAAAGTGCTGGAAGGGGGGCGGGGGCAAAGAGAAGACGGAACAGCCGGGGGCAAGGGGCTGTGTGGAGGGCCTCGGTGGGGAGCTCTGGACACCGAGCCGCGGGCAGCAGCCGAAGAGGAGGAGCAGAAGAGGATGGAGGAGGATCGGAGGAGGCGGCAGGAGCCGCCGAGGACTGCGCGGGATGCGCGGCAGCCGGCGGACAGACGGTGGACCAGGGACGCGGACCCGGTGGGGGCGGACTGGGGTGGCTGGGGGCGTGCCGAGGCCGCCGAAGGAGGGGGCTGTGCAGCCCGCAGGCAGGGGCGGGCGGGGGTCCCTCCCGCAGCAGCGCCCGCCCCCGGCCCCGCCCCAGCCCTCACCTCCTCCCCGCTTTCTTCTGGCTCCCAGCACAAGCTCCGGCCCGAGCGCCCTCCACCCTCGCGCGCACACGCTGGCGCCCCAGCGTCCCCGGCGCCCCCGGCGCTTGCAAACTTTCCCCGCGATCCCCCCACCACCACCTCGAGCAGAGGTAGGGCCGCAGGGCGCCGCTCCTTCCATGGCCTATCCCGCCCCCAGCCCCGGACCCCGCCTCCCCTCCCCGCCCTGCACTCACGCACTTCCCCGGGACCGGCTTTTCAGCTCCGCGCCCCGACGCCAGTGCCCGCTGCTGCTGCCGCCGTCACCGCGGGACCGAGCCAGTGCAAGCCCCGGGGCCCCGCCCCTAACCACGCCTCCCATCGCTTCATGAATATTCATGGTGCGGAAATCGGGAGTGGGAAGCCCGAGCAGAATTCGTCGCACCGTACGCAAACAGGCGCCGTTCCGTACTCAATTATTCATGAGCTTGCAAATGAGAGGCCCGTCCGGATTCAGACTCGGACGAAACTGACGCAATTTACCCGAGCGAGCGCCACCGAGATGACTGCCTAGAGAGGAGACCTCTCCGGACGGCCCTCCTCGGGGCCGGCCGCGGCACTAAGCACAGCACCATAGGGGCACTGATCACAGCACCATAGAGCGTGGCCAGCCAGAAGGGAGGCGTTGGCGGACTGGAGAGGCTTCCTGTTACACCTGAGCCTTCACGAGAACGCACGCGACGTGGCCGCCCCACGTGGACCAGTTCAGATTTAGTCACGGCGATGAACTCTTTTCCATGTGTTGTCTGTCTCCTTTAAGACCTCTTTTAGTTTCCAAACGTAAATTTTGTATCCTTCCCTCCTCGGAAAAGCTTCACACAAACTCCCGTACGTTTCCTGCGCGCGCGCGCGCGCGCGCGCGCACACACACACACACACACACACACACTGAAGCGTTAGATAGGAATCTAGTAATGACCTTCCAGGCAGGTCAGAGTGTCATTGGTTGACTCAGGGCCAGAGGTATGACCTGGGTCCCACTCTTTTGACCAGTAATCAAAGTCCTGCAGTCTACAAGCTGCTGATTATGAAGGAGGGGTTCATCCCTAGTGACCTGCAAACCTGCTGATTTCTAACCCGCTATCTAACACTTTCACTGCACTTAACAGCCTTTCCACACGGGGATAGCTTCCAATGTAGTCCGTCCTCTTGACTGAATTTGGATTGTTTTTAAAATGCATCTTATTTTAAACGAACTCCTTCCAAATTCTCCCGGCTCAGGTTTCCACTCCTCACACTGCAGAGGACAGTCGATCCTGATTCTATTATCTCAAGCCTTGTAAGACCCTTGACTCATAGGTGATTAAGGATGGCGCTAAGACCTGCCTCGGCTGGTGCTGGCTAATGGAGTGGAACTATGAGAGACTTCCTAATCAGATCAGCACTCATTTCTTGATTCTCAGGTGGCATGATGCAGAAGAGGGTGAAAACCAATGCTTGTCCAGCCGGGAAGGACAGGCTGTACCTGGAGACTTGCTTCCTGGCTAGCCAGGAGGGCCCTGCCCAGTCAAAGCAGAACTGTAAACACACATACAAAGTGGGAACAATACAATAGGTCTAGAAAAAGAGACGGGACATGGCTTCCAAAGTCAGTTCCCTTTATTAAATTGACAGACCAGAAATACAAAATAAAAGTAGAAATAGGCCCCAATTAGGAGCTATAGGCCTGACCTCACACAACCCCTACTGCAACTTGAACAGGACAAGTGGCAGCTTTCCCCAAGGTCAGAAGAGTGGGACAAGGACCTGGGACCTGCAACGCCCTGTGTGCAGACTCCTACCCAGTCTCTCCCCAGATTACAAGGAGCCATCCTTGCAAAGCAGCAGAGGTAAGACACTCCCTTGCTGCCTCAGCCCAGTGCCAGCCACCAGGAGAGCTTGTTCAGATGGCACAGAATCTGAGGACTGCATTTCATGTGAGGAGATACTGGTACCAAAACATGAGTAGGGAGCCTGGAGACCTGGGAGGGCAAAGTCAAGGAGAGAGAACTGCCTTCCTCTACTCATCGGATCCTGATGCCGAGTCCTCTGAGCTGGGGGGAGTACTTGCTAGTTCCTCTTCTTCAGAGTCCTGAAAACCAAAGGTCTCTTAGGGGAAAACTGTGGAGCCCAGCACCTCCCCAGACACTTTTCAGCGGTAAAGGACCAACAATGCCTAGTTCTACAGCTCCAGTACAAACCTTGAAGACCTAAAGAGCCACCTGTCCACTCCAACTCCTACAGACCAACCACAACCCCAGGCCTGACCACCCCCAACCCTGACTAAAAGGCCCCTCGCCTTCCTGACCCTCAGCCCCCATCCCTATCGTACCTCACTCCGCCTCCTCTTCTTTTTGCTCTTGTTCTCTCCTGAAGAGCTCTCATCACTGGACACAAATTCTTTGCTCTTGAAGCTCTCACTTAGCTGCTTTGATGAAGACTTGGATGATGAGCCCCGAGAGGGTGTGGATTTCTTTTCCATCTTTGCTTTTACTTTTTTCTTCTTCTTCAACTTGTCCCTTGATTAGAAAAAGGGAAAAGGAGCCGGGCCATCAGGTTCCCCACATCAAAGCCACATCTTTCCCAGCTGTAATGAGGTCTTTGCCAAGTCTGAGCCACACTGTTCCCAGCATGGTAATGTTCTACCAGCTGTGTCAACCCAGTGTACACCAGAGAGGATCACCAGGGAATCAGAGTCATAGCCAGAAGCAAAACTTATCTGAAATTCTTGCTTTCTTTTTTTTTAAAGGTTTATGTGGATGTTGCTGTAAATTCTCCCATGATCTTCTGGGAAAAGGAGCCATATTTATCCTGACTTGAATTCCCCAGATAGCCTCCATACTTGGGCAATGGTATACATGGGTTTGAGAAGTACTACTCTGTTAGATCTTCCATCTTTGACACAATCTCAAATATGACCTAAAAAGTAAACTGCTAAAATAAAAATGCATTTACTGGGGCCATTTGGGTCCCAACTCACCTCTTGGAAGACTCGCCCCGTCCTCCTTCATACTCTTTCATGGCTTTTTCATATTCCCTCCTGGCATCCTCAGCCTTGTGGTCCCACTCCTGTCACACGCACATACACAAATCAGTGAGCAAAGTCCTTTGCCCTGATACAAGGAAGATCTAAGCTACAGAGCAGTTCCAATAGAAGCCACCCACCCCCATGTCAGTACCACCCCAACGAAGCCTTTCTCACCAGCCTCCAAGAGCCACCACCCTCCTCTCTGCTGCTCCTCACCTCTTTCTTCTCCTTGGACATTCCCTTCCAGATTTCACCCGCCTTCTTGGAAAGATCTGTGATGCTAATGCCAGGATGGTCCAACTTGATCTTCTCTCGGCTGGCATTAAGCCACAACATGTATGCAGACATGGGCCTCTTAGGGGCATTTGGATCTTTACCCTTCTTCACCTACATAAGAAAAAAACCCAACTGCCACCAGCCATCTACATCCCACAAATATCCCACATTTCCCCCAAGAAAATTATTTGGATCACCTAACTTGGGGAGGAAGGAAATGTGGGAAGAAGAAAAAGTGTCAGATTAGATAGAAACAACCCTAAGGGCAGGGGTGGCATCATCCTCCAACTCGGGAAGGGTCACCTGGCACAGAGGCAAGCTGCCCCTTAATTCAGATGCAGAGACTCATGTCTGGTCAAAATGCTGAGACTAAGTGACTGTTGAACTCTCAGTCCTAAACAAGATGTCTAAATCACCTCCTTGAAGGCCCAGTGAACATGGCAGAAGAAGGAGCAAAAAAAAGCAGGAGCCAGAGGATGGGGAGTAGTGCTGCCAGCCAAGCATGCCACAGCCTCTGCAATCAGAACACACAACAGCTACGGAAACCAGCACAAGGTCTGCACAAAGCTGGAACCTTCAGCATTCTATCATGATGGGGAGGTGACAACGATGCCCCACCATTTTCTAAGGTGCTATTGGAAGTTAATGGTTGCCAAGGGAGGGTTGTGACTTTCCCTTCAGTGGTATACCACTGGTGAGTTGCCTGTGCTTCAGTAAATAACCCTACCCATACTCATATGTGCACCTCTAATTAAACTAAGTGGGTCAAAAAGGGGGGTGGGACATGAATGAAAGTAGGAGGGGCTAGTTGAGTCAAAAGGGGGAAAGGGGTAGAGAAAAGGTAATGGGGGATGAATATAATCACAATCCATTTGGTATGTGTATAAAATTGTCAAAATATAAAGAAAAAAAATTTGAAACATCAGAAAACCCCACATCTTCCACAAGCAATTATCTTAGGACCAGAAAAACTTCCACCTTCTGGTGGGGGGGGGGTCGGTCCACCAAGGCCATAATCACAGCTGACAAAAAGCAGCGCCCCAAGGACCAATCAGTGGGGTCTATTGGTGTGGGCAGGAGAAAGAAACAAAGAATGGACACACATCCACACCCACCCCCCCACACACACACCACACACCCACACACTCTCTATCTAGAGAAGAGCCTGTACCTCCACAGACTTCTTGCGGCTCTTGCGATCCTTGGCCATCTTGGCCCTTTTGAGCTGTTTCCGCTTCTTCTCTTCCCGGTCACTGTCGCCCTCGTTACTGGATGAGCTGGCAGAGGCGTTGCTGTCAAACCTGCCAGAGTGAGGTTTTATAGGCTCAGGAGAGGAATGCAGGACACAGAGTTCTCAAAGACAGGAGGAAAGGGAACCTAAACATCTGACCAGAAAAGGGCAAGGGATGAAATTCCAAGGCCAGCCTCCATTACCAATCCCCAGCTTCCTGCCATTTGCTAAGGGGGCCTCAGCATCCCCTCTCCAGACCCAGCCACCATAGGGTTATTTGGTGAATTAATCAATGAAAAACAAATGTTTCAGTGGGCTCTGGCTGCTCTCCTTGGTCCTGGCCTAAGCCAGGTTGTACTCCACTCCCATCACCAACACACAAACACTATCTCACACCAAGTCCATCTCACCACTCCCTTTGGTTAATCACCTTATTCCGATGAAGGGAAAGTAAGCCCCAAAAGGAAGGAAAATCAACTTAAATGAAATCAGTGCATACGCCTAACAGCCCTATCCAATATACTGTGCATCTGCTGATACCTGGCCAGGTTCCCAGGTTCCCACAGCACTTTGACAAGCATCTGTACATTAACCTTCATGAGCAAAACTAGTGGACTCCTGAAGGATGCTCATGGTTTGGTTTTGGTTTTGCTGTCTAATACCCATTTCCAATCTTTCTGAATCAATAGTTCCAGTTTTCTGCTGGGAGGAGATGCACCCAAACTGCAGGCTCTAAGGATGGACGTGGGGCCTAGTTCTGGTCCATTAGAGCCCTGCACATATTAATATCTCAGGCTGAGAAAGGGGCAAATGATCACAGACCACACTACTTTGCTGTTCACAAGAGGTGCTTCTGGGTGCTAAGCTAGCAGCATTAAACCTGCCCAGACTTCCTAAGGGTCACTTGGCATTGAACAGACCAAACCTTTCTAGGAATAAGAAAATCAGAAGCAAGAAATCATTTCCCCACAACTTCTGGGCACCTAGATCCAGTAGTGCCTGAAGGCATCTATATCCCTAGACTCTTGTTACATGAACTTAAAACATCCCTGTTGTACCAGGTCACATCACCTTCTGATACCCGCAATCAAAAGTCTTGACTGATGTAGCACAAAGGGTACTACCACACTCACAGGTCAAGGCTCCCAGCATGTACAGGTACTGGCTCTCCTTCCTATTCTCCCTCCCCTATACTTCTCTGGCTTCAAAGCATGCTCTACATGAATAAGGTCCTTGACACTTCAATAAACCTGTCACTTCACTGCAGATCACTTTTCCATCTTGGGCCACTGTCTAACACTGGGACAAGAGAAATATCCAGAAACCTTCTGGTCCTTAAGCTCAGAGGTCACCATCACATCCCCATGAGGTCTAACCACAACTCACTCCTCTGCCACGTCTTCCTCCTCTTCACCTGGGTTGAAGGACTCATCTGAGAAAGAACAGACACTGCATCAGCTTCTGCTCCAGTGGAAGTCCCCCCTCTTCCCAGACACCCAGCTCTGGCCTGGGACCCCAGAGGAAAGCCTGACTACCCCAGCCCCCAGCAGAGGCTAGCCCACCCGTCTCTTCTCCTGAGTCATCGCTGCTGTCATTGGCATTCTCCTCCCGGATCTTGCCCTCCTCCTTCATCCTCTCCAAGTAGGCATCATGCTGGTCTTCATCAGAGTCAGCATACTCATCATAGCTTGGGTTCATGCCCTAGTCAGCAGGAGATGAGTGTCAGCCATAGCACTCAAGCCAGAGCTCAAACACTCAAAAACACATCCCCATGCCTGTGACATCAGAGCAGCAGCTCCCAGAAGATCCTGGGGCCAGAATGTCCACACACAGCCAACATGCAGGGCCTACCAGACTGAGTTAATCCAAACCCCTCCCTTTTCCTGGCCCCACAGGGGGGTCCTAAAAGGCTACAGAGACTGATCTAAGGCCATGCAGAGAAAACCTGCTCAGGAGGGGGAAAAGGTCACACGCACCTCTTTTTTCTATAAGGGTAAGAAGAGAAGAGAGAATGAAAAAGAAGCCACAAAAATCTCTGCTCCTTTCTCCTCTACAGAAAGAACAGGAGAGAGGCTCATCCTGCCCACAGATACCTCTTTCAATCCTCTGTTTTTGATGTTGAGCTTTTTTGCATTGACAAAATCAAACAGTTTTCCGTACTCCTCCCTGTGAGGGGAGACAAACAACATTACCAGATGGTCAAGACCAACTGAAGCAGGCTAAACAACATTCTGACATCCTCATGATGGGGCAGAGGGTGGGGCTAGAGCTTGTGATGACCCAGCAGGATATCAGCAAGGTAGGTCAGACATAGTCCTGAAGAGCTTCGGGACAAAAAGAGGCCCAGGGCAGTATTGTGGGAAGGGATGCTTTCATCTTTCTACTGGTCTGTGTTATACCCTTCAGAGTTATGAGGATTAAACACAAAGATGTTTGTAAAATTTTTAGCCCACAGTGAGTACGCAATAAACATTAGCTGCTGTGTTCCCGAGCACAAAGCTTATTCCAGGAAACAAAGAGATTGCATTTCCACCGTGGGGGAAGCAGAGAAGAAAACCACCTAGAACTAGCACACACAGCTTTCATAATATGGAAAATAACTTTTCTACGAAATAGGGGGGAAAGTGATGGAGAGGTTTCCCAAATCTGATCTTGAAGGACCAGATCCCAGAGAAATGAAAGAAAAATTCAACTCAACTTGAAAAGTCTAGTCACAGACCCAGAAAGGTCCCCCCCCCCACCATGCTGAGCTTCCCAGTGGAGGCTGGATCAGGACCAAAACCAGAGCTAATGGAGGGAGGTCCTCACCTCTCGATGCTGCTGAAGGTGTACTGTGTGCCCTGCTTGGTCTCAATTTCAAAGTCGAAAGAGCGAGTGGTAGTGGTCCCACGGGCAAAGTTGACAAAGGAGATCTCATCAAAGCGGATGTGCACAGGGGGCTTGTGAACATAAATGAAGCCCCGTTCCAGTGGGTACAGGAGCCCTGAGCTGGCCTTGTAGGAGCAAGTGATACACTGGGCTCCTGAGTGCCTGATAGAGGAAACAGGGAGCCTGGTTAGCACCCACCTCAGCAGAGCCAAAGGGTACATCTAGGCACAGCAGCAACCCCTGGCAGTCCCTCATCCCTTCAGCTCTCAGCAGGCCGGGGACTCAGACCTGCACTCTCACCCTTGAAAGTTGCCTGGGACTGTGATCTTGCGATTTACAAGTGCTTTCATCACCCGGCTGACCATCTCATAGAGGGATCCTGACATATTCTTCGTGAGCCGCCCCTCAAAGCGCTTCTCCACCTCTTCCCTACAGAAAGAGCAAGATGAAGTCCAACAACACATCTGCTTCCTGACTGGACAGCAGCAAGAACCAAGTTCAATGAAATACTCACTCATTCATGTTGAGAGTCAAGGAGATATCTTCATCCTTGGAAAATAGGAGGATCAGGAAGTGGTAACGGGTTTGGCCCTGCTTAATGGGGGGATCCAGGCTGATCTGGTAAGGACAAGTGGACAAGGTTGTTTAGTACCAGGTGATCAACCACTACAGAACTCTAGACATCTGTGAACTCTATTTACTGAAGACTAGGGCAAAAACCAGGCACCCTGGAGAATTTCTGCTTACCACAAAGAACATCTGCCGTTGGTCCTTGTGGGGCAGCAAAAAGAGACGGAGTACTGTGGTGTATGGAATCTTGTAGTCAAAGGTCTTGCCGTGCAGGTGTAGAAAGGTGGGGTAGATCCGGATGTCATAACGACCCCGAGGAGTCAAGCACTGCAACTCCCGGAAGATGCAGATGGCGTCTCCTGTGGCCTGGATCACATCTGCCTTTGACAATACATTCTGGGCAAAGGCCTGGAAAAACACACAAGGGCAATCAGACAGGCCAGTAATGCCACCAGACCAGGCATGCAAGGCTGACTCAGCAATGTCTGCTGGCATAGCAACCAGAGTAGCTCTCACCTCAACAGGGTCCACACCATCCTCCTGGGTGGGAGGGACATAGAAGCGCACCTCCATGAGAGACACTTCTGCATCATCGTTCTGGTGGAATTCCAGTGTCACCTCATTCTTGCCTGTGGTGCACTGGGACACATTGCTTAGGGGTATCTCGAAGACTGGCTGATCACCAATGTCAAAAGAAAGTAGCTGCCCTGTGAGGAAAGTGATTCAAGCCACAAGCTCCTCCGCGAGGCCACACATACATTCCCACATTCCATAAGGACAGATGACTGAAGGAATTTTGTTCACACTATACCCCCAAGACCAGGCACAGAGCCTGATAGTCATTGATAAGTACAAGATGAAAACAAAGACTGGAGTTACAACCTACAGCAAAGGAAAGAGGAAAGCAAGGTAAAAGACGAAGCCCTTCATCCCACCTTCTCCAAGACTCACCGCCAAACTTCACCGTCCCCCAGTTCCAACCCTTCACACACAGGTCCTTCTCCATTAGTTCGAGGCGATAGTGAGTTTTGAAGAAATCAGAGAGTTTCTCAAACTCCTATGAACAGAAGGAAGAAAGTGCAATCCCAGTAAAATCCTCCTGGCCTTAACACAATTTAAAAGGTCTGGAATTACCTAGTTCAGAAAAACTGCACTAATGTATCCTTTATCAGAAATCAAAACTAACTTAGTATCTCAGCTCTGAAACTGTCTTAAAATAGTTTTACTTTGTTACTAAAAAACTGTTTCCAGGAACAGAAGCCCACACCCAGGCTTTCTTCCCCAGCCTCTTTCCTTCTCTTAACCTTCCTGCTTAAAACCTATTTTTGGCCGGGCGTGGTGGTGCACACCTTTAATCCCAGCAGAGGCAAGCTGATCTCTGTGAGTTCAAGGCCAGCCTGGTCTACATAGTGAATTCCAGGACAACTGGGGCTACAGGGAGACCCTGACTCAAAAAGACCAAAAAGAAAACCTATTTTTGAAAATTTATTTTAATAAATTTTAATAATCTCCCTTCTGGGTCTCAGGTGAGCAGAGAGTAAAGCAAGGAACTTACATTCCCAGACACAGGGATCACCTTGCTGAGTTTTTAAACTTTGTATAGATGCCATTTTGGTAAGAATGTAGATTAAAACCAAGTAACTCTAACAGTTCAAAATGGAAATGCAAAATCCTGGCGCATCAAGCTAAGATTACAAATCGGATAAAAGTCTTCTTTAGAAGATAAAAGTCTTCTAAAGTCCAGGCACATGGACACCCAAGGTAGAATGTTAGCTGTTCAATGGCCTCCAACAGCCCTTCTCTAAGGAGCCCACACTAACAATGACAGGATTATCAGCTATCAGAGTAAGGAACACCAACACTCTCTAGAAGATTAAAAATAAACAAGACAGCACAGTTGTGGGGGGGGGGCACAGCTCACTGCAATAGGCTCTCTCACCGATTCTCGGAAACCATCATACTTGTAGACATGGCCATTCTTTGTGAGCAGTTTAAGTCCATGACCCAGCGCTACACGGCGCCAGATGCCTTCAGTCAACTCCCCAGCCTGGATGTTGTCCACTTTGCCTGTCTTGCTGTTTTTAAAGATGATTCCCTGGCGGCTCAATCGCAGCCTCCCATCATTCTGTCCAAAAAGTAGACCCCAATCAGAACAGGACATAGTGTGTACTGGGTCCATTTTAGCCCTCCTCCCATTTGGTGCTGAAGACTAGGCAGATTATCAATGTAAGAGCAACAGCTCAAGTGATGAGAGCCAGTTAAAACAGACAAGAGCCAGCAGGGCATGGTGGCATACACCTTTAGTCCCCCCACTCAAGGCCCAGCACTCTAGGCAGAGGCAGGCAGATCTCTTGTGAGTTCAAGGCCAGCCTAGTCTACATAGTGAGCTCCACCCCAGCTGGGGCTACAGGGAGACCCTGTCTCAAAAATCCAAGAAAAAAAAAAAACCAACAGTAACAACAAAAAACAGACAAACAGGGCCTGGGTTTCCTGGTTTTTAACACAGGGATTTACAAGTACAGAGCACTCTATTCAAACTCAAAGACCACATAACTCTTGAGACTTTGTTGCCACTTTTGCTTGAGGAAACACCAGCTACACATTATTCTGGGTGTTTTCTAAAGCAGTATCATCTCAGAGTTAAGCTTTTGTTAATGGACAAGAACTCTTCCTTCTCTCCACCTTTATTAAAAGCCCAAGTCCTTCTCACCATGGACCCTTTCACCTCCTGGTAGATGTCGTTGAACTCCAGGGTTTCTGCCATGTTGACCTGCCTGTGCTGGCCTGAGCACAGAGCCTGCACCAGAGAAACCGAATAATCTGGGAGCTGGGCCCCAATTCCTGGTTGGTTGTGCAGATGCTCAGCAAGGTGGAAATCTGAATTCAGGAAGGAGACAGACAAGCAATGAAATGTACCACATTTCTCCGCTCACCCACGGGCGGTGGTGCATGGAAGGTCTCTGCACCTCCTCTGCCTGGGTTCCTACAGGCAGGCTCTGCAGTGCTCCAGGGGCCAGGCCTAAAGTGGCGTTTACACCCCAACCCAACACCCGCTCCGGACGTTCCACCAACAGCCATGGCAACGGATCGGCGGAACCCCAGAGCCTACTCTGAGTCCGGATATCAACTGAGCTCTGAGGGTACTTTTCCACCCAGCGATCCCACCATTACAAGGCCCCAGACCAACGTTTCTCCCCCTCCTTCTCAAATGGATTCGCCCACTGCCGGCGGATTTGAACGCGGAACGATCCATCTCGAGCATCCCGCGGGGGAGCGGAACCCGTGCACACCGGGGCCCCGGGATCACGACCACCCACCTCTTCAAGCTGCAACCTCGCGAGGGCCCCGGCGCGGGCGGTGGGCTCACTGGGGGACGCGGGGGAGGGGGGCGGGGACGCAGGGGAGGGGGTACGCCGGGGAAGCTTTTCCCGCGTGCGCGGTCCCGCGTCCCGCCACCGGAAGTTGCGCACAGACCATAGAGAAGATGGGCTGGCTAGAAAGGCGCCAGCCGACCAACGAGACCGTTGCCTAGAGTGTCGTGACTCTGGGCTACTGAAGTAAAGGGGCCTCGCGGTGAAATCCCACCCTCCGGGACTCTTGACTGGGAAAAGCGATTGCGGAGAGCCCTTCCGAAAGTTACAAGTTCCCCAAGTAGAGACTAGATTCCGAAGGGAAGTTAGGTAGCTTTATCAGGCGTTCAGGTTTGTATGTGTATTGAAAGCCCTCCTGTAAAACAGTCTGGAAAGGCGTCCATTGAGCAAGAAAAAGAGTTGTGGCGAGATATGACACTTCCACTGGCTGCAGAGGGAATGTCCGTGACATTGTTGCTGTCCCGCTGCAAGTGAGATACGGGCCTTTCTGAAATGAGTTCACGTTCTACCCTCAACACCATCCTATCCATAACCTTAATTTGTGGGTTCCGGGGAAGAGCTTGGTAAATGGCTGCATTAAATTCAAGTGCTGGTGTCAGATTTATCTTGGACCTAGAACTTACTTGAAACCACATCAGCCTGAGTTGGCAGAAGCTGGGTTGGCCTCATATAGGAGCACCAGGGTGCATCTTGCAAAATTAGAAGCCAGGCCTGAAAGAGATGTTGAGTTTGTCTAGATCTTCCAATCATTTTGCAGAGGAGAAAGCTGTGTGGCCCAGGGTGTCAGTGAGCTGGACAAAGCTGGAGACCAGAACTCAGAACTCCTTAAAATCAGTCCTGTTCTTGTCCTTATAATCACAGTAGCTCTAAACTTTAGCATGTAACAAATGTCCTACATAAAGACAAGCTATTTAAACTCCTGATTTTCCTGACAATCACTATACTGACATGCCAACTCAATCCTGCGGAATGAGAGAACAGAAATACATTCTTACCACCCTGAAGTCAAGGCTTTTATCACTGGATTAAATGCTGTTATTGCTAGCACTGTTTAGCTAAATTAAACTAGGCTTGCTACATAGGTATAGAGGACCCATTGTTGTTAATTCAAGTACATGCCTAGAATTTGAGGAAACTGTTGAAGATGGTTAAAACAACCCTGGCCTTTCAGGATTGCACAATCAAACAAAATATTCAAATAGCCTGACAATAAATGAAAAGAAAAAAATACAGTAATTTCTATAGCACCTGAAGAGCTTCAACCATTACCAGATGGAATAAGAAATATGTGGCTTTGCCACTTTGTGGTGGCACACGCTTGTGATCTCAGCACTTGGGAGGCCAAGACAGGAGGATTGTGTGCGTTTGAAAAAATAGCAATATAGCAAGTTTGAGGCCAGCTAGGCTATGATGAGATTCTGTCCACAGAGACAGAGATGGAGGAGGGCAAAGAGAATGGGGAGGATAGGAAACATGTGGCTCTTCCTTCCAGAAGACCCAGAATTTTCAAGAACCTCATTCATGCTGCTGGAGGCAAGTCAGGAAGGGAAGGGGCAGAATTAGGTAGAATTAGACACCCATGAGTGAAGGGGTCCTCCGTTCAGGCAGACAATGGGGCATTCCAAGGGGCTTTACAGAAAGTATGAAGCAGCCAGTGAGCTGTGGAAGAGATGCAGCATAAGAACAGAACAGAAGCAGTAGACAGAGTGCAGATAAAACATGAGTCCCAGAGGACCCTGGCCAGCTGCATCCCAGGCAATCAGGAGCCCAGGATTGGAGACCCCACCCCTGCTGTGACATCACAGGTGAGTGGGGTGGAGACAAATAAAAAAGGGGTCCCCCGCCCTGGCCCCAGACTGTTGGTGGTTGGCAGCCAGAGTGTCAAGAGCAGAGAGAGGCCAGGCGCTGGGCTACAGTTGTCTGACTCACAGAAACAGTCTCCATTCCTCAAGCCCCTCTAAGCTGCCCCCTTCCAAGCCTTGACCTCTGCCTCCCTGTCCTGAGACCCTCTCTCCTTGGGCTGTCATCAACCCTTCTGAGGGGCCTGAGAGCACTTTCTCAGTATGAACTGTATATCAGACTTCTTCACCTACGAGACTACCAAGTCGGTGGTTGTGAAGAGCTGGACCATTGGGATCATCAACCGAGCCGTTCAGCTGCTGATCATCTCCTACTTTGTAGGGTGAGTCTGTGTCCATCTGGTCCTAGGACAGGAGAGCTACCTGCTGTCCTTCCGCCCACTGTCAGGACTGCTGTGCAGCTTCTGGGGCTTCTCTGTCTCTGGGGAACACTTTGTTCTGGGGGAGTCACGTCCTTAGGACTGGCCTCTGCCACTCCCATCCAGGATCCAGGCAGTCTTCAGTAAAATCCTCCAGACTTAGAGAATGAGTCTAGATATATGCTCCAAAGATTCAGGGTCCATTTCCTAGACATTGCCCACCACCAGAAGAGGTCCCATGTGATCTCTCACCCAAAACCAAAAAGGAAGCAGATCCCTCCCCTCATTTTCCCATCCCCCTTGATCAAGTCCTCAAAGTCTCAGAAAAATAAAGGAGCCCAGGAAGGAAGTACTGAAACCAGGGAGATGGGTTGATAGCCTGTGGAAGAATGACCAGCTGGGGAGGAAAGGACAGAGCAGGATTTAATTTAGAATGAAGAATGCCTTCCTGGCATGGATAAGATGGGAGAGGTTGGAAAGGCGACTTGTTTGTAGAGGGTAGGACAAAGGAGAGAACTGCCTCTCAAGGTCGGGGGGAGATAGGCACAGACAACACTTAGTGGCCAAGGAGAATATTACTTTTCTGACTCCCCTAAGAATGTAGAAATACTGCCCATTGATAAAAAGCAGAAATTCCCTACCTCTCCCTCTGTGCCATAAAACTCATGCTGGGAGTTGCTTAAGGGCCAACAAGGTCCAAGCACCCCCCTGGGCCCCCACCTTTTGGAGGTGAGTATCCCTACATACCCAGAGACACAAAGGGGCTTGAGCAGACAATGGCTGGGGGGCGGGGGGAATACAGATCTGTCCTTGTGGTCATCTCTACACACTGGTTGTCACCAGGAAATGCAGGCAGAAACCTCGAGAGTTTTCTTTCCTGGTGTGCGGGTCTGTGGTCTCCTGCTGTTCTTTGAGCTGATGCCTCTGTCTATGAAAGACAGCAAACCACTGACTAGGATCTGAGTTAATTCAAGCAATTCAAAGAACACATCCTGTGTGCATGTGGGCCAGAGCTGAAAGGCTGGAGTAGTGTGTGAGGATGTGTGTAGAGATATGGGCAAGATGCAGTTTTTTAAAGTGATTTTTGCTTCATGGGTTTGGCAAGAGCCCGGAGGCTTTAGTACTCCAGTGTTCTACCTGTATCGTCCTTGTGGAGAGATCACAAGAGACTCAAGCTCTGCAGTAGGATAAAATGGCCTTGAAATTCCCTTCATATGTTAAGGTTTTGTGAGAAATGATTTTTGCAAATGTTCCATGTCCACATCTCCAGAGTTTGACTCAAAATTGGTTCATTTTTGTTTGTTTTGTGAGACAGTCTATAGACCATGCAGTTGAAGATGACCTTGGACTCTTAATCTTCCTGCCTCCTCCTCCCTAGTACTAGAATTACAAAGCTTTGTGCATAGTAGGTAAACACTCTACCAACTGAGCTACATCCCCTGCTTCAAAGTTGGTTCTTAAACCTTCCATGCCCGTGTATATATTCATGCCTTGATTGTAGATAGCCAGGATTGTAGATACATGGGATAGTGTATTGGTCCAGATGAGTTCAAAAGCTTTTTTAGCACATTCCCAACCTGGCCTGGCTCTGTTGGCTCCAAGCAGGGCATTGATGGAAGACAGAGACAGCTGTCTCCTGGAGCAGCCCCCTCAGATCTGCACTGCCCTTAGCTGTCCCTCATCAGAATCAGATTGGATCCTCTAGTGCTGGGGGCTGGAGTCCAGTCTGCTCGAGGGAGAATGAGAGAGGCTCTTTGGCATCTTGATATGCAACCCCATCCATCTCCTAGTCTGACAACTCCCCATGGAACAGTGCCTTGCAGTTACATCAGCTCACTCCGCAGCCCAGCCCCCGGCCCAAGCCCATTTCTGTGTATAGGAGCCCAAACACCATGTGACTTCATGAATCCATTGTGATTAATTTAGCAAAAGTGTATCGAACGCCTCTTCATGCCAGGCATTGTGCACTGAGGATAGAACAGAGAACAGAAGCAGACAGGGTCCTTATGCTGTGAGCACCATACCTGTGAATACGGCAAGAAGTAGACATTAATTCCATATCCCCACAAGCAAAATGTGAAGTATTGATAGTGTCTGGGACATGCACAGGAGCATGGCTATTGTGAAGGCATTTGACCTCATCTAGGGACTGAGGGGCGGTCTTCTGGAGATGCCCAGTTTAGAAGGATGGGTAGAAGCAACCAGGTGAAAAGAAGGAAGGAAGAGGACCCCAGGAGAGAGAGCCTGGGAAAGGGAAGGAAGAACAGATGTTTATGGAGGTAGAGGCGAGAGTGTCAAAAGATGACTTGGAATAGAGGCCAGATCTGGGGTCCTCAGAGCACTTTGATTTTCACAGGAGAGTGATAAATGGGAAGGAAGTCACTGAGGCATTTCAACCTGTGTGTGTGTGTGTGTGTGTGTGAGAGAGAGAGAGAGAGAGAGAGAGAGAGAGAGAGAGAGACCACCACACAGAGATCTGAGCTGGCTGATCCATCCAAGAATTGAAAGGGTAGGAGTGCCGTGTGAAAGCCTGTGGGAGAGAGATGACAGGACCAGATGCAATAGAATTTGAAAAGGATTTTAAAATGTTTTTATATTTTATTTTATTTACTGTGTGTGTATGCATGTGCATGTGTATGCATGCACACCACAATGTACATGGAGGTCAGAGGACATTTTGTGGGACTCAGTTCTTTCCTTCCACCATGTGACTTCTAGGACTCGAACTCAGGTCCTCAGGCTTGGCAGCAAGCACATTTACCTGCTGAGCCATCTCACCTGCTCCTTAATAGGGTCTTTAATGCTGTGGTGTTAATATTTAACTAATACTGAAATCTTTTCCCTATTACTTTCCACCAGGTAGACAGGAGGCACAGCCTCATCTAGGAAGTGTATAACAGGAACTGATTATTGCTCTTACACACACAGCAACACACCACCTAATCAGCTCAGCACATCCTCACCCCCACCCCTACACCCCTAGCCTTAGCTGCCTGCTGTGGTTGACACCAGTTCACCCTGATTCCTTCACTCACCCCAGGTGTACCAGAGGCCCCCTGACCCCAGTTAGCACCCCAAGGCTCCTTGTCAGCATACTAGTAATGGGTATGCTGGGAAGACCAGTTGGAATCTCCCACCATCTGGGTCCAAAAAGGAGTGACTCTCACTATTGCCTGTCCTCTGCCCTCTCCACAGCCTCAGGATGGGAAGACCATGCAGCAAGGAGGATGCACAATTAGCAGCCCCTGGCTCTGACACCATCTGGGAACAGGGCCTTGGGTGTGTCACTTCACACCCCTGAGTCTCAGTTCCCCAGATCTGGGAAATGGGTGTAGGAATATCTCCTGCCAGTGAGTTACGGGGAGAAAGATAACACACGCTAAGAGCCTTCCTCATGATGGTGACTCAGTAGTACTCCGCTATGCTTGGTAACTATTACTATTCCATACACTTCCTGTCATGCCTCCCCCTTTCCCACTGCCCAGCTCACACCTTCCTAAGAGACCCCTCTCCTCTGACACACCCACAACACACACTTTACACCCACTCCCTGGCCTCCTCCTTGACTCCCTGGGGGTAAGCAGGAGGGTACTGGGATGCTGCTCCGGGCCTCTTTCCTGCACATCCCACCTGCCAAGGAGCTGACACCCGCCTTCCGCTCTATAAATAATAAACCAGAAACTCGAGAAAAAATAAGTCAGAGCGGCAGAGTAAATGCCAAGAATCAGAGGCTCAGTCCTGCTCCATCTCTTAAGCCCTGGCCTCTAGAGACAGCCTCAGCCCCTCTCTTCTGGAAATGAGGCATCTGCCCCCAATGGCAAGCTACCCTCATGATGTCCTTGGCCCCATGGGGCCACTGAAACTCTTCTGCTTGTTACTTAACTCAGAGAATTCTATTGTGGCTTCTCCACCCTACTCCGTACTTGGATTCCTGAAGGAAGGGGAGGAGGAGGAAGAGGAGGAGAAAGAGACTGGTTAATTGAACTTCCACCCAAGCCCCTTCCTCCTGAGACCACCTGAGTTAGGCGATGTTTTCTATTGATGGAGCAGAGCCAGCAGGACAAGCACCAGGGGCTGACTGAGCCCTGGTCCTGATCTGGGACAGAGCTAGGACCCCTTGATGTGGCTGGGAGTGGTCCAGAGCAGATTGCCTGGTTTGGAACCTGCTTCTGGGCTTTGTGACTTCGGACAAGCCAGCATGCCTCTCCTTGTCTCAGTTTCCCCACCTGTGACATAATGATAATAACACAGCAGTCTCCTTGTTAAGGATTTATCTAAGGGGTCAGCCTAGAGTCACAGTGTTGGTTGTGTGATAATAATACTCTGAACGCTATTTCTCACCTACAAATGTTCCCTGACTTTAAGGATGGGATGGGGGGGTAGCAGTACCAGCCTCAGGGAGCTATTTTATAGCCCAACACCAAGAAACATGTCCTTTCTGTGGCCAGGCAGACGGAGGTTCCAGAAGGCTGTGTTTGGACTGTAGCTTTCTCTCTGTTGAGTGTTCGGCAGCAGCCGCCATCTTAGCTGGATCAGAGATTCAGGGCCCCAGATCTCATTCCCTTTCATTGTGGAGGGCATGAGCTAATGATGCTCTTTTTGATAACTTGTTTTCTGTAACAGCATGCTGCTGTCTCTTCTATTAGGCCATAACATGGTAAATGAGACCTTAATGAAATTCCTCTCCTTTCAAAACATAAGGAAAAAAATAGTGCTAGGGAGGTAAAGCCAATAGCAGTGAAGGTTTCCATAAAGGCGTGGTGCCCATAAGAGCATTTTACAAGTATGTGGATAACTCTTAATGGTGCATGAATCAACTGCTCTGCTACAAGGCAGCAGCAATAAAACAGGTAACAGTTTTCAGCCATTCGTCAGCACTGACTGTAACTCCACCCTTTGCCTCCCACACAAGAAAGCATTCAGAATTCAAGTGGATGACACTACAAAAAAGGGAGATAAATATA